CTACTATCTCCAATGATTTTCCTGATTGCGGTAGACTGGATCATGCCACAGACAGACAGTGGGCAGCGAGAAAACAGGCATGAAAAGTGCACCCACACAAAAACTTGGAAGATCAGGACCTCGCCGATGATATGCGTTAGATTTCCCACGAACTGTAAGATATGCAAGTGGAAAGCAACAAATTGGCAGAAGAAGCATCCAGAGAAGACAGGACTACTTCAGCTGAACATTGAGAAAACAGAGGTGATGAAGATTCCCGGACAATATCTACAGCAACAACAACAGGAAACAGTCCGCATAAATGGGAGAAATCTGAAGGAAGCAACCTTCATTACTTACCCATCTACCTGGGAAGCATCGTTTCAGCTCCAGATGAGTGGAACTGATGAGGATATCAAAGCAAGGATCGGGAAAGCAAGGTAAGCTTTCATTACTCTCAAGTCGGTGTGAAGATCAACAGCACTCAGTATGATAAAATGAGCATAAGATCCGGATTTTCAACTCCAGAGTGGAGTTAGTGCTATTCTCTATACGGATCAGAGACTTGGCACGGCGTCACGAAGAGCACTTCGAACAAACCACAGGCCTTCATCAACAGCTATTCAAGATGAGATACCCGGCCAGAGAGGATCTGCAACAGGGATCTCTGGCAATGAGCAAACCAACAAGAAAAAAATTGTGCAATAAATATGCAGGAAGAAATGGAGATGGATTAGATTGACCATACTCTGGAGCCAGGTAAAAACATTGACGGAGAACCGGACTCAATGGAGACGTGGGGCTGAAGCCCTGTGTTCCTCTTGGAACTAAAGGAGACAATAATAACTTAAATTCCCCTTGGAGTTTGTGTCGCGATTGGGTTGGTTTTCCGTGGTAGTATCACTAGCCAGATAGTTTCCCAACTCCACAGGCTCGACCACTCAGCTAATTTATCTAGATCACTTTGTAGGGCTGACCTATCATCATTATTATTTATAGTTTTCCATATCTTAATATCGTCGGCAAATAATAGTAAAGATGAAGAAAGAATCCCTGGTAGTTCATTAACGTATAATAGGAATAGCGTGGGGCTTAATACGGTTCCCTGTGGCACTCCACTGAATACTGCTTTCCCCCCTGATAACACATCGTCAGCTCTCACCTTCTGCCTTCTATCTTTTAGGTAATCCCTAAGTTACTCACATGGGCATTGGTCCAGTCCGAAACCTTTAAGTTTGCTAAGGAGACCTAAGTGGGATACTTTATCGAATGCCTTACTAAGATCGATCAAAACGACGTCCAACAGAAGTTTTATCTCTGGCCTCAACACAGTCTTCCCTAGCCCGTAGCGGATTTATCAGCAGGATCGTTCTGGTCGGTATCCATGCAATGCCACCTCCAAAAAGCCATGTTTTTCCACATCACCTGATAGTTGGTCCCCCATAATTTTTTCCAATACCTTCGCTATGATGCGTGTCAGACTTACTGGCCGGTAGTCAGATACCAATTGCCTGTCCCCCTCTTTGAAGATAGGGCTCATAATTGCATCCTTCCGGTCCCTTGGTAGCTTAGCCTGAGTCGGAGGCATTCGGAAAATCTGCATAAGTGGAATATATATTATATCCGCTGAGGAAGTTAACAGTTTAAGCTGAAATTCATCGACCCGAGTGATCTACCTGGCTTCGGCTTAGACAGCAATTTGGGGACCTCTGTGTTCCCTGCCACAATTGAGGGCATCCGAGTGGCGGTGGCAGTGACCTCACCATATCCCTGGGTGGTGCAACCAGATAAGAAGGCGTCAAAGAAATATTCAGAGAGGTTGTCAGCCTTTCCCTCGTCTGACTCAGGCGCTTCTCCACTAATGTTTATGAATGACGGCATACCACTTCCGGCTTTAGTCCTGTGTTTGATATACGAGTACAACCTTTTTAGGTAATGAACACAATACAGTACTAGCTGTCTCTCGTACTCTATACGACTCTTGTCAATCACATACAGAGATTTCGAACGCTGCGATGGTCCTTCTGGAAATTTTCCCTTCCTATTATAATAAATTGGTCTTATAAGTTCTTCCTCTGTCTCAATAGCCTCCTTATTTCACCAGTAATGTGATTGCTCTCAAGGAGTGTAACAAGCTAAAAATGTAATGTGGCACAATCTGGAAGGCACTTGGTGTTACCAGTGTCCTCCTCCGGTGTGTTAACACCAAGTCTAGAGTAGACGGATCATGTCCAAGGTGATACCGTGTTGAAGTATGCATACGTTGCACGAGTGCATATTCAAGCAGTCGGTGTGAAATTCTTATTGGAACAGGTGCACAAAACAGTGGATTTTGATTCCCCCAATAATATGTGAAGCGTTAAAGACACCAACCATCAGACACCTACTTCTACTACTCCATGCTCTCAGGTAATTTTGAATGAAGTCGTCAGCTCAGCTAGCAGGACTTCTGTTAATAACTCCGATCGTTAAAGTGCCCTTGTACAAGTTAGTGACACGACCTGTGGCTTTACTGGTGCCACTATCATGTGCTTCTAACAGCGCTGACCTAAAACCTATGTCATCCCTGATGTATAGGGAAACACTGCCACTTTTCCGACTAACTACTCTGTCCGCTCTAATGCAGTTAAATTTAGGTATGAGTGGAGTTAAGTCTACCTCCACCAACAACAATGTCTCAGTGATAGCAACCACATCAGGTTGTAGTCTTTCAGATAATTCTCCTAATTTGGCGAGCCTAAAACAAAGACTACACTGAAACACCTACGTGTTCATCCGGTTTATGAGGACAGGTCTCGGCAGCATCGGTTTTTGAGACCCCACCACCTGGAAACCCAATAGCTTTAAATCTTTTTCGTCTTTCTATAGACTGACCTTTAGTTCAGCTACGACCCCTCTTCCTTTGCTTCTGTCTTGTATCGGCCAGTGAGGCCTTATTTTTAAACTTTTGTCATTGATTCTGAACGCGTTTTGGGGGATGGTGTTCCTCTTTATCTCGTTCTCCAAAACTATCTCAAGTTATTCTGGTACCAGATCGAAAAGAATAAAAAATTCACCGGTTGCTGAATCAAAAGTACTTCTCTGTATGTTTAACTGTATTCTAACTGCTATGATTACTTCCAAACCATTTATCTCATAATCACTCAAATTCCAGGAACGATTCAATTCTACCGTTTGAAGACGCTGGCAAACATGCTGTAAATGAGTATTCATGATCTGAAATGAAGAAGCAACTGGTTTTCAAACAGTTTTTCAACATTTTACTCAACTTACGAGTACAGTCCGCCATGCAGACACAAATGGTGCAAATGGAGAATTCTGGAAACGACCGCGGCACCATTTGATGCAGTAAAACAACTTAACATGACCTTATCAAGTTTTCATATCCACGATCGAATTTCTTTCCTGTTATGAAACTACGATAAGACTGCTGAAAAATGGAATAAATATAACACTGATCTCAACATAATACATCAATAAACTTTAAGCCAAGGGTGCTGTTCACAACATAGTTATATAGGAGAATTGACTTCAAACTTAATTTTTCCCAGGTATCTGTATTACATTCAAGTGATGTCTGGGTTTTTTGTTAATGCGAAGACAATATTTCTATATCTCTTTATGTGCTACACAAACAGACTTCACAGCAGACTGTTCTGACTGACTCTAATGCCAGAGAGAACAACCAAACTGTAAATCCATTATACATCAAATTATGTGTCATTTATATAACAACTTATCCATGCCTGTACAATATGTATGTTCCTGCATAAACAGGGAGAAATATATTAATATCATTAAAACAATATTTATACATGCCTATACAACTGGTGTATCCTACATAGCTAGGAAAAAAATGTACCTCATTGTATTATCTTTACTAAATATGCTTATTAATCTTATGTGTAACTTATCGAATTGATGATGCCTGTAAACTGACATCCCTCATGTAAGAAATGAGAATATATTATTATTATTATAGAAGTTTCCGTAGCATCAGAGTTTCTTTTTCCGATCCTGATGGCCTTTCTTTTGTGGACTCCAATTGTTTTGAGAAGTACTTCTCGAATGATGAAACTAACCGCCTTCAGGTTATCTGCACGTCGGGCAGCTGGATCTGTGTTTTTAGATTCCTCTGAGTTCCAGATGATGACACTGTAGGTTCCGCAGTTTGGTTGATATTAACAGCCGTCGAGACCTTGTTGGTGTGCCCAGTTATTGTTCCTTCCCTTCATTTATTCGGCTTTTTACTTATTGGCACCAACCAAATGGAGTCAGTTTCTTCCACTATGTTTCCGCCGCAACTAGGATCCAGTCGTACACTAGACGCACAGCGCTTTGGAGCGACCATTTCAAAAGCTGGTATTACTATGCTGGCACTACTTGTCTTTTCAGATTTTCTTTGTTTTTTGCGCTTTGCTGAAGCAGGTTTTCGGGCACTCTGCGTCTTTTTTGTATGTGACACTTCAAGATGTGAAACAGTCTCAGGTTTGAAACTGAGTCCTGAGTCGTCATTCTCGGCGTTGATTTCTGATGCAGGCTGTTTGACTGTATTTTTCAGTGATTTCTTGGACATAAGAAGTCCGACTGCATCTTGGATGTGGAAATCCAACGGGCTACTGGAAAATTTGCACACCTACGTAGCTGATGGCTGCTCTTATAGGCTACTGACGACAAAAAATTGTAAACCTTGTGAAACCAGTTGTCACACTGCATCCCGCCATCCACCGGAAAGCGGTAATCCGGTCGTTTGCGGTTTTAGTCAGGCTTATAACTGTGTAGTTTGTTCAGACAACACAAATTTATCTACATGAAAGCAGTGAGGTAAATATCAACCGAAACACAAAATATGAATAAACAAATTGAAATTAAAAAGCTTCTGATGTGATTTAAACATCAAAGACAGAAATTACTTCACAATGAAAATATGCCACTTCCATTTTCAAAGAGCGCTCAAATTACCTTGTGGACCGTAGTTCTCCCTGAAACAGTATTTGCACTTCGATATATGAATCTAATCCATGATCTATCTATGGATTTCAGGAGTTAAAGTTCAAATCATGATAAAAATTTTTCAGGAAAACCAACATTTGAAGTAATTTGACATTTTCACCCGAGCGCTCTTTTTGAGATCCTTTACGTGTCTTAAGTTTTCAAATTAGTTGGTTAGCAGTAACATCACTCGTGTGCTATCTAGGTAAGTTAAATTATTCACTTTTTGTCTTTGACATCGTCAATACTGTTTTCATCTTTCCATGGTCTTATAAGTCGACATGTTCATTCATCGTAGGTAAAGTTTCACTGTTAACAGCATGTCATGCTGATAGTTTTATCAAATAGATTTACTCAATAATATGATTATATTCTACAACAGTGCCCAAATCTTATACATATGACAGTTGGTATGCCTGATAGCTCATACATTGTAGGGAAGTTCTGTAATATCTATTAAGCGATTGTATATTAAGCAATATGCTATTTTTAGATGAGGTCCTTACTTTTCTAATTATTCAGTATATTGTTTATCGAACTTAAAATATTGTTAACACAGCTTTCAGCAGTAGAAGGTAATAGAAGGTATCAAGATACGAGTTAAAGTCAGTAATTCAGTAATTTCAATACCTCCCCACCAAATATGGTGATCAGTGAAGTCGATGTGTGGTTGTACATAATTACATCAGTTCAGCTTATTGCACTTCGAAGATGCATAAAATTAGAGGATAGAATAAGATGTCATATTGTATTGCTGATGTAGTGAAAATGTTAGTCAAAAGGTCATCATAGTTGTTGTGGAGTATATATATATATATATCGTATCTAACCATTAGTTCTCATTATATCTCGGACTCTGTTTAATCTCTGACCATCAGCCATGGATTGGAGCCATCGCTTTTGGCGTGGTTTTTTGTAAGTTGGAAAGTTTAGTTGCACGGCTTCAAACTGGAGATGCTCCTAAAATGCCTGCTACGACAATGATTGCTTCGCGACTAAATGATCCAACTCAGAGAACGACAGCAAATACACCGAAATCCCCCATTACATTTAAATAGTTACCTTTAAGTTTGATGATTTACTTTTTCCAACCTAATCATACATCCATCAACATTGTTGGTGAGAAAGATGGTAGTCGGGACATGTTTCACGTTGTTGGCTGTCTCCACTAATGAAGAATTACATCGTATGACTTGCACTCATCACCAGTGAACTAGGTCTATGTATTACTCATCAAATTTTTCCATTGTAGACGACACATGGTCGAAGTTATATAATGATGATTATGATTATGAACAAGTGTTCGAAACGTCATCCACTATATAATACTGTTTCACTGTGTGACACATCTAATAAACAAACTAATATGGAGGTTATATAACTCCTTCAGGTCTGCTACTCTCAGTGCTAATGTGCCTTGTTAAAGTAGAATGGGATAGCGTCAAAAGCGATACAAGCTGGGAAATGACAAACGGCATTTTTGTATATGTTATAAGACTTCATCGGTAAGAATTCCATTTAGATTGATTGAGCTTGGCGTGTAAGTAAAGTCATCTGCATATTTCACGGAAAATCTGTTGATTCCATTGGATTTCACTGCTTGATTTTTTCCATCTTTAAGTGTTTAGTCGTGTTCTACCGGTTCTGTTTAATTTGAACCTATCTACATTAGAAAACCGAAAACTGTTGGTTACTGTATTAATGCTTTCCAGAACTCCTGAAACGGTTATATAGTCAGTACATACTATTCATCTTGAAAGTTTGATGCTTAATATTTGAAGTTTATTAGTAGTCACGGTAAATACCCATTGAGTCATGAAGAAAATAAAAGACAGATTCAGCGAAGAAAATTTTCTTCGCTGAATCTGTCTTTTATTATTAGTAGTCATTAAGGTTATGGAGAAATGTCATGCAACCTCTCTGTACTAATTATTATTACTGCCAAAGAGGAATAAGTTTGTCTAACCAACCAATTAACCCAACTTTTTTTTCAGATGTTATGGGAAGATGTGGAGCTACAATTCAAAATTGGTTTTTAGCAATAGAAAAAGGCGATCTATCGCTGGTTCAAAAACTCTGGAAGGATATAAGTGATATAGATGTCACGGATACTTACATACTCAATAATATCAAGGTACAGTAGTTTTACGTTAACATGTTTTTAGCATGATAATGTAACTGGGCTGATTATTGGTGCCCATTTCGGTCACAAGGATGTAGTTAAATGGCTTTTAAAAAATAAAGCAAATGTTAACTGGGAAACTAATGTTAGTTGTTGATTTCTGTTATTATATATCAACTATTTTTAGCTGAAATGGCGTCCGATTCATTTTGCCGCTAAACGTGGTCACTGTACCACGGTGGATATGCTTTGCAACAGCGGAGCACTTGTTGACCCACTTACAATGGTATGTTACAGTTTTGCATGTTATTCCCCCAGAATAATGAAACTCCTCTGTCGCTGGCACTTCAGTCTCACATGCGCGATACTGTGCTCAAACTTGTACATCTAGGAGCACAAACAAACAAAAGTAACGAAGTAAGTAAGGTGAGAGGATTTTAATGTCACATCATATACCTTTAAGCCTTATTTACAAATGTACTTATGATCCTAACCTGATAAATTGGTAATTTATCTTTATAGAGTCTAGTTTATCACTACGTTTGCCGTGGGATGCTAGTACCGGATAATTCATCACAAACGCAACGTGAGAATGTTGATACTGCTCTTGATGGGAGTTTACAGTTGCGAAATCAAAGTCCACAACCAATTCATTATCAGTACCAGATGCCAGTTCTTCTCTATGCTTAAATGGTGATACAAAGGACTTTTCGATTGCAGTTTTCGACAATCAAGTTATAATGAATCAACTTCAGTGTCAGTCGACAAGTTACGACTTAGAACTTGCCAGACGAAAAAGAGAACTAATAAGGCGCCTACCATTCCTACCATGTATGTCACAACATTCAGCTAATCAATTCCTGCAATTGACTCAGCGTGTTTCCCGTGCAGATTTACCCTTGGAAAATCGTCTATCTACAGTTTCTCATCTTTCAGTCTGCTTCCTATTCTGTCTCCCAGCGATACTCACAGTGATCTTTCCAGTAAGACTGCATCGATTAGCATTATCATTGAACCATATTTGCGTCTTTTTGAGGCGTGCCTGTGTGAATCTCATTGCCCGCTAGAGTTGTGTGTTCAATTAAGTAGGCTTGCTGTGTATATAGCAGCCTTAGGAGCAGGAAAACCTTTGATACCAATAAATCTGTTACCAATGACGAATTTCCCCTAAAACAAACACCCCATGTGCTCATATCATTTCTTACATTTTAAAGTTACTCAAGAGGCTGCTTCTCAAAGGAAATGCTCAGTATAGATCAGGCATTCTTTCACATATTTCACGGATCTTATCAGATTTATGCTTACCAACGAGTCATAAAAGTAATCAACCTATTAGTGGTATCTGTTCCTGGTGTGATCTTTTACCATTTGTTTCAAGCATCATTTCAAGTCTTATTCGCTTAGGTGAAACTCTTGATCAACCACTAAACGTACCGCGTTTTGCGCAACTTGTTGGTCTTATTGCTCGATGTTTGATTAGCTCTCTTCCAAAGCCAGCCAGATTTCCCTGTCCTCACGAATTTCTGACCTTGTAGATATTCTTGTGGGTTGGAGTGTGGATTCGTCTGGTGGCTCAAAAGATGTAAATGTAAGCACTATATGCGACGAAATATACTTTGGCCTTTCACATTGGTTTTTCCTACGTACAGAAGATAAACCTGAAGAATCAAAGCAGTTTATATCGTTGCCGGTTGTAAATGAGAATATTCGAGAAATGGTTACTCACTTATTGGAAGATAGCGAAAATTTACTGAATGCAGCTATTTCAGAAGGCACCACTGTTAACAACAAACGTAATCCTACAGTACCAGGAGGTGCGGTACCTTCATCTGACCCAAACGGTCATTTGTATCACTTCAACTTTCCTCAATGTTTTGTCTAGCATATTTGGAGGTATCTGCAACCGTAACTTTGCTTCAGAAGATATTGGTTTCGACCATTTAATGTCCGGTGACGTTTCACAATGGATTGAACGTCTGCTGCGCATTGTCCAATCGACAAACGCTTATTATACCACATTGTCATCACAAAAACAAACTACTTCATGGCACTCTTTCATGCCCGACTTATGCTTTTCATGTCCCATTTATTGTCCTGGATGGAATTCAGTCTTCAGTTTTCCAACTATTAAGCTGTTTGATACAATTTTCTGACTGTTCAAGTGCTGATATTCTAGCCGTACACAACTGCTTGATATCTAGTGTGAATGTCGAAAGTTTGCTATTTACTGATTATTCATTAACTTCGTTACTTGATCTCATATTCACTATCCTGAAAGTAAAATACTCCTCTACTTCAACCTCTGCAATTCCTTCGTCGTTGTTAGTTTATTTTGATTCTCATTCAAAACTGCATCATTTCAAATTGTGCTGCAAATCAGATAGCAGAAGAATTGATACACCAAGTCAGAAAATTTTCCAAGTACTGTGTGATTTATCGTCTATGAAGTCTCTTCAAAAAGCTGTTTGCGAATTAGCATTATCTGATCTTGAATTGGCAACAAATTCTCAGAAAGATATAGATTCGTCTGTACCTTCAAGTACTTGTAATTTGGAAACCTTATCATTATTCAGTTTATCACTGTTATCCAAATTGATGCAAAACATGTCTTATGACCTCAGAAATGAATTACTTGTCGTATATTTGAGATTGTTCGAGTAAACTGTTTGAAAACTGGTCTGTTGTTCCAACCCGTCTCAGAATAGTCATCCTGACATTTTTGAATAATCCATCACTACTTACAACATTTCAAACAGTTAACATTATGGATATGCTAACCAGCTTTCTTTCTATCAGGAATATTTCCAATATGGAGGGTTGTATTCTTCTGAATTTAATCGACTGCTTTTCTCTGAAAGTATCGTGTGTTCCGATAATAAGCTAACTTTACTTACTCACCTCGTAGTATTGTCAAAGCGTACACTTGTTTCACAAGCAGCTTTGGATTCATCTTGTCAAAATGTTTTTATCCTGTGCACGAACGTACTTGTGAAATATGCTCTCCCATACATCAAGAAGGGTGATGCAAAACTTGCTTCTTATCTTTTACACTTAGCACAAATCTCATTATCTTATCCATGTTTGCAAGTTCAAAAAGCTGGTAACGATTTATTACTTCTAGTTGGATCATTTACTTCCAATAAAGTCGAATTTCCATCAACCAAATTATATTCAGAATTGCTCTGGATTACTACTCGACGACCAGATTATTCGTCTACAGCTTTATTATCGTCAACCAGTCTTGGTTACACAGACTGTAATAATAGTCCAGCGGCGATGATCACTTCTTTTCCTAGCCTTCCCGCTATTGCAGGAATTCTGGGCATTTTAACAAGAGGAGCTCCTTATACACAAAATCAGAAAGCAGTCGACTGAGAATTCTAAAGAACCCAAATGACTGGATCCGACGTTTGTCGCATTTGATTTCTCCGCTTCCATCAGATTGCAAACGTGACCTTTCATTACTTCAGTGCACTAGTTTTATGCAACCGGTATTATGGCACACAGCATGGGCAATGGTCGATTACAAATTAAAGGTTGCTCCTTGGGCTAATCCATTGAAAACATTCTTCTCTTTGAGGGAACTTTAAGAGCGTTTCTACAATCAAAAGACACCATCGATTCTTGTAATGGAAACTCGAATTCAATAGCCCCTTTCTATGTAGCTTCTTCCAAGGCGCTTGCTTATCAGACAACTAATCGACAGCTTAGTCAAATTCAGTTGCTTATGAGGTTTTTGGGTTATCTTGAACGTATTATTTTCAATGCCACTAGTGGTTTTGCGACTGTACTACCGCGTCCTTCAACAACTGCTGCTCTATTTTTCACAGCAAATGAAAATACTTGTACCCAGTGGTTCAATCGAATTCGAAATCTTCTAATTCTAATATCAAGTGACTTACCATTGGTATCGAGAGCTGGTGTAGGACCAGCTATTGAAGTCTTATCTACTACTGTCTATCACTCATATAGCTTGCTGAGGATTGTTCAAGTTACAAAAGCCCGAATGATCGTGATGTGTGGCTGAACACGTTGAGGCAGTATGGTGGATCAAGTGATATAATTGTTCATTTATCTAAATCGCTTCATAAATTAGGAGCTTGGGAAGAATTGGAGGCTTTAGCACAGTAAGTTGTACGAAACATACATGTGTTCACATTCTAAATTATTGTTTACTATTTTGTTTATGTAATGGACTTAAATTCTCACCACGTGATCATGGTTTCACAAAGACTTTAGTAGGAATGGTCACGAATTTTTGAAACTTAATAAGTTGGGAAATTGGCTTATTTGCTTAAGAACCAGGCTTTCAGCGGGTGGGTCCCTAGGTTCGAATCCCATTTGGTCGACGTAGTCTCGGGCAACTGGGTATTATCCCCAGCCCTCACACAATAATTGTGTGGCTCATACCTTGGAATATGAAAAACCTATTCTGGGAGTTGAGTTCAAACAAAGCAAATTGGCTTTACTGAGTCAAAGGTATTTAGTTTATAGCTAAACTGTCTTCTGACTAGATTTCATCCTTGATGAAATCATCAACGGTTTTAAAAATCAATGAATACACCATACACTGTTAGATGTGTTAGCTTTAATACGGATAATTGAAGTGGTGTATAACTGACGAGCTTGTGACTTCCTCTAGCATGAATCCTTCAGGGCATCTTAAAATCAGAAACAGTTATAGTAGGCACAGAAATTTAAACTGTACTTATGGTCTCCTAAGTGAAACTTCACGTCTCATGCACTGTCATTATTTAACGACATGTCGAAACCTTATCTATTCATGTCTATTCGTGATACTGTAGGTAAACAAATAGCATCGTTAACTCTCACATGAGTCACGACTGAATTATTTGTATGGGTTGTTCATGTTAATCTGATAACTATTGGACATCCCGCAGTTCCTCAGAAGATTCATTACTTGCCGATTTTGACTTATATCAGTTGGTTACTATTAGATGAGTTTTTGAATGCATTTATCATGAGTTTTGTTTCTATATTTCCAATGAACGAAGTATCCCCATATTGAATCATAAGAAAAAGACGTAAACAGCGAAGAAAATTTTCTTTTCGATGATTCATTTTTCATAAGCTGTAAAATCGTAATTATATTTAACAAAGAAACCATAAGACCAATCAGATACTGGTAAAATTTTGTTGTCAAGCTTGTTGGTAGGTAGTGCTGGTTTCTAATATTATTTTGTCAGAGAACTGAGTTTTGCCAGGTACTTCTTGTGCGTTTATATTGAATGAACTTGTATTTCTAGATGGTTGGACGACCTCTTCACTCCACAACAGAATCCATTTTCCTGGCTTCATGGCGTTTCTTTTTAACTCGTGGATATTGGGATCAAGGCATTTTACAACTAACTGGTTATCTGGATTCCAACTTATCCAAAAGCAAAGTACTAGCTTCCGAAAATTTTGTCACTAGCGAGACCAGTGAAATTTCCATTCATGCAGCGTCCGCAGTGTATGTTACTGACGTCCTTCTTCAAAGTTATCTTCTTGAAGGTAACTATGATGCTGCTGTGAAACTGCGCAGTCGTGTAAAGCCATATTTCAAGGGAAAATTACTGAAAGAAGATTTCTCACTAAAGCTTACTTCAACACGTCTTGACTGTATGAATAAATTGTCCAAGTAAGTTTAGTAGAACGTGTAATTTCACTCATATTTTTTTACCTTTCATCAATAATTGGAAAATTCACCGTGAAAATTATTGTTCTGTAGGTCATATTATTTGTGTACAATCACTATTTCTCTTATATTATACCTTATAAATTGTTGTTGTTTGACAAACTGTAGATTGACTTATTTATCTAGCGTGATTTACTTTTAATTATGTTTGGACAATGATATGTCAGTTGTGCAGTTTCATCGGTAATCTTCAAAAACATCATTTCTCAATACGAATTAAAAAAAAAGTTTCTAAAATCTTCCCTGTAACACGTCTAGACAGATTAAAAGTGAGTATGTCTCGTTAGCTTTTAGCATTAGAGTTGTAGTAACTAGGTTCCGTGTTTGAATCTCATCACTTCTGCCTTAGCTTAAGCAGTCAGGTAGTATTATTAACAATCGCAATAAATGTGACAGCCTGGTCTGTGAAAATCTCCGTAATTAAGTTTCACTGTTGATATTGAGGAACTGTGGTCATACTCTCATTCTTTCAAGTTCATTGTAAAATTGACATCCAATAATTTAAAGAACTGTGGCTGATTGGTTTAAACTTCCATCTGGTTCGTACATCATGCATGGAGATGTGGTCCATTGGCTCGAGCACTCAGTTTTTTTCACTCAAGTAGGTCCCGGGTTAGAGGTCTGACTCAGACTAAAAAGCTGGGTAGTATCAAGAGCCCTCACAAGGTATGTGTCTTACAGCTTGACGCATAAAAAATTTGTACGGGTAACAGAGTTTGAACTGAACTCGTATGCAGCAAGCCTAATGCACAATCCCATATTTTGTTGCACAGTAATATCTGATAGATATAGATGTGAAATCATGATTAATTTTCCACTTAGTCATGTTTTCGGTTTCTTGCACCAAAATCCTATGAGTCGTTTGAGATTTCTGCGGTTCTTAGTTTGAATAGCAGTAATATAATGCATCAATGTTGCAATGTTTGACTTTCATCATCCCCTTTTTCTTTTGTTAACAGATGGACTTCTTCAAAGGATGTTAGTGATAATCGTGATCCGTCTGAAATGTTGTCACACAACTTTCTTCAAACGCACCTAAGTAGTTTACTAATCAATGCTGTGTGTTCAATGCGTCAAACTCAAGATATATCCTCACCAAAGTGTTTTTCCGAGTTGATTTCCATAATAAGACAAAGGTCAGCGGCTACAACCTCCCTTCCTTCCATAAACATGTTTGCCGATTATTATTCTCAGTCGAAAACTGTTCTCAATGATGGCTTACAGGATTGGTTGGTCAAGGCTCAGTTGTTGATTACTGAAGAGACATGCACTTCGTATGAAATATCAGATCCTTTGACCTACTCATCATGGATGCACGTCGCATCATTAAACAAGAAAGCCCACTCTACTTCTGACCTTTCCGCTTGTCAATGGGCATGCTTGAATAACTCTCCACAACTGGCGCAGCGTTTAATTATTAAGGCAGCTAACTGTCTTACTCTGCTAGAACACAACGTCTCTCAAGGCAAAGGAAAAACGTCATGTTTTGATGAACTTTGTAATGTGGTTTTGGCCAGTTCCAGCGATATGCTGTCTAAACTGTCACGAGTAGATGCTTTGCAGTTCTATTACTGCTTGGCTAAAACTCTGTGGCTATCATGCAGTGGAACAGAAGAAAATGAAAAAGATGGGAAAATTAAAGCAATCGCAATGTTAGTATCTGCTCTGAAACTAACATTTCAAAAAGTGGATTGTAATATGTTAAAAACTGCAACTCAGTGTAATTTGGAAGCTGAAATGGTTGTATGCCTCTCCAAGTGGTTAGAATCGCCGTCCGGTCCCGATGATGTCCCATGGACTGAAAGGATATGTCGAGATTTGACAAGTTCAAATATGTCTGAACAAAAGGTATTTAGAATGGTACTTTTTTCATTTTTTGTGCTGTGTTATATTGTTAAGCTAATTCACCAGTGGATTCTAAGCTCCTTAGTGTTTTGACCTTTCGTTGTTCATAATACTTTTATAAATGTTGTACTGTAGACCATTCTCGTGAACTGACCTAAATAAAGTCATCAAATGATATTAATAATTTACTAAAAAAAATGAAGTCGAAGGTTTGTGTTTTTGGTGTTAGGTTCTCTGGACTACTCGCTAAAAATTCTGATACCACTGGAAACACAAACTTATAAGGTCAGTGCTACACTGCAGCGTAGAGGGAAGCATTCATTTTTGAAGTCAGTGTATCATACCGAGAAATCATATCGAAAGGTAAACTTTTAAATCCGGGAGATAAAAAGCTGATGAAGTCATAGAATTTCAAGCACATGTAGGTTGAACTATTCGTTAGTCCTGTTGTTTGCTAACAACAGCCACACATGCTGGAACAAATGATTTGTTCGTACATATGGCTGTCTAGAATGTATTTTAGGTCTGATAGGTTGCCACTACACTCTAGAGACCTGTGTCTAGTAGTAACACAATATATTCTCGAATTTTCCTAGCATAAACATTGACAAATGAAAACAAATAAGGAAATGACGGACAATTTATTACCCATCCTGACCAATTAGTGAATTGGTTCGATTTTATGAAATAACTTTTGAACATTAACTATTTTAAAAGAATCTTAAGACGCCAAACTTTCGTGCATGGCTTGATAATTTCATTGTTAAAGATTAATTCTGTTTAGAATAAGCTTTTGTAGAGTGAGGATTACTTTTGAGCAAGTACCCAGTTGGTTAGTTGACTTATTAGAAGTTAGCTACTCAGTACGCGGCTATGGGGTAAACTTATTGTGTGAGGGTCGATTGTGCCACCCATTTACTCAAGCTGGGATAGATGGAGCGAGATTCGAATCGGGGACTCATTGGCTACAAGTCGAATGCTTAAGTGAATAAGCCACATATCCTTTGTTTATGGACGTTTTAATTGTTGGTGTTGCCACTTCCCGGACATACTTAGTTTTCCCCATGACCTTTAAAGTCGTAAATTCGAATAACTTGCTATTATGAGATTTTCATTTAACGCGCAACAGAAGCTCTAACTACTTCAGTTAATTTTGGTTTGGTTTTGTTAGATCAATTTCACTCCTTTAAATGTCAAGGATAACCTAACCATTTTTCGCTCGATAATTGAATTTGTAGCCAAGTTTTTCTTCATTAAATTCAGTCATATTATCTGAATGAATGGGCATTAATAAGAATTACTAGCTTAATGACTTGCAGTTGTAACAGTCACCCTTTTCGGTATTGTCACAGATGTATAATCTACTATAGTGGAATCACTGCACAGTTTAACTATTTTCATTTATCTTGTGCTACAACATACTTTACATATATTAATTTTTTCATTACCATATTGCCAATTTTTCTCACTACTTTTGTGTCCGTTGGTTTGATTGCTAAAGTTCGTTTAATTTCTCTTGATTTCTAGTCGCAAGGATTGTTAGCCATTGCATCAGACCTCGATATGTTCAGTCGTTTTTCTGATGTTTCTTCGCCTAGTGGCCTTCCTGGTGTCACCAAGTCTGTCCGACCTACTACAACATATCCTCTCTCAGCGTCCACATGGCCTAACCGCCTAATAATGATGGCTACTCATCTAAATGCAAATGGCTCATCTGCATCTGTTTGGCTAGCGATGGCGAATTGGTGCTATGCTCGAGGTTGTAAAAAAGTAAGCAATAAAATACCACTTTCATAATGTCTCCAATTATTTTTTATTTGAATGCTTTACAATGATCGCAAATGGATAAATAAAGTGTCAGTATTCTCGATTAATTCTTTGAAATCTTGATTGAAGTCGAAGAGGTGTAGAAATGACCGATGCAGCTTTCATGATTTACTATTGAACATTTTAACGAATGTGTTTATATGCTGTTCTGTTAACGGAAATTTACTAGCTATGAAGTTGTATTGTTAATTTTTTTTATAGATGTGTATTCGTATTTTTCTCTGCTCCTGTTTACAGATCGATGAGTTTCAGTCAGCTGCAAGAACGTATATTAAGGATCTTAGTGGAATGTCTCCAAGTCATCCTGCTGTTCCTGTCCTATTGAAATTAGTGCAGTCAACAGAATATCCCTTATTAACTATGCTAACTGAAAAACTATGCATCTCATCACAAGAAAATACAAACAATGATGAGAAATCAGATTCGTCTATACCAGCACTAATCAGTGCTTTAGCGACCTTTTTAGCTACTGAGGTTTGTAATGAAGATGAAATGGAGGTTTCCAAACATCACAACACATTAAATATTCATCTACATCAATTTTCTCCTCATTGTCCTGATGATCAGTTAGATGGACAGGTTAGATAAACTACTTTCAGTTTATTACTATATAAACAAAATATTTTGTTGTAATGGAATGATAATTAAATGTTAATTAATTGTATTATTCGGATTAGTGCCATCTTTGCATTTGCACATAGTAAAAAATTGATTGGCTTCAATTACTATACAGTCAGCACCTTATGTAAGTTGGGCGAAGTTCAACAAAAGCGTCCCAAGAGTGTGAACGCTTCAATGACCTTGGATGCATGCTAATCGTTGGTTAACGGCATCTGTTATTATCATAGCTGCTGCCTTCTCAGCTTCAGTGGCCAGGTTGTCGTAGAATTATCTTTTGTCCTTCCTAGCACTCTTCTTCACTTCTTTGTCCAGTGATGTGTAAGTTGAGCTCAGCGTCTCGTTCTCTTGTCCGTCTTTGCATTGAATCATTTTTTCTTTCACCATTCTCCTCTCTTCTATTAATTTCCAAGTGTCCGTTGAGAGCCATTCCTTGTCTTGTCTCTTTTTTCTTCCTAGAACCATTGAACACGTTTCGTTGAGAATCGCCTTCAGAGACTTCCAATGTTCTTCCACGCATGGTTCTTCAGTGATGTCGCGTAGTGTTTTCTGCTTTGCTCCGACAGTTGCAGTGAAAGTGTCCTTTGTGGTTGTGTCCTTCAGTTCCTGAGTGTTGAACTTGCATTGTGGCCTATCCCCAGCTATCTTCGAGGCTTTTAGTTTCACCTTGAAAGTCCCTTGTACTAGATAGTGGTCTGAACCCACATCTGCTCCTCTCCTTGACCTTGTGTCCAGTAGGCTCCGTCTCCACTTTCTTGAAATTGAGATGAAGTCTATTAGGTTCTTGGTGTTTCCATCTGGTGAAATCCATGTCGTCTTGTGTATTTCCTTGTGTTTGAACACACTGCCACCAAACACCAAATCATTGAAGGCGCAGAAGTCTGAGAAGAGTTCACCATTGTCGTTCATTTCGCCGAGGGTCTCACGACCCATGGTGAGTTCTCTTCCTGAGTTGTCTCCTCCCAGCTTCGCATTCATGTCGCCCATCAGGATTTTGATATCACCATTTGGGACGTTGTCCATTACTGGTGTGCATGGAGACTTGTATTTCAGTATCGCTATCGGCGATTCACTGTTCGTTAGTTATCGAACGCAGTTTTAGGAAAAAGGAGAAAAGATGTCAATAATCAGCCACTGGTCAACTATTTAGTGTCTTTTATGATTGACTCATAACCAGTAGAAAAAATTATTGGGAATTTTCGAACACTGTTCTTTACCGTAAACATTTCCAACTTGAATGGTGCATAATATATTTAGGAAAACAAGCATAGTGTGAGAGAATGACTTTTATTAGCCAATAAAATTACGCCTCACTGTTTTGGTGTAACAAAAGGAGACAAGGGCCAGGCAACAAATCGTTTATTTAGGAAATCAACAGATATTTATAGTCAAGTATTGGTTTGTAGGGGTCTGGTTGATTGGTCACAGGATTTCATCATGAGCTGACATTGGTTAGAGAACCATTGGAAAACCTGAGAGTACTGGACAGCTGTTTCGTGCTAGTTTGGGACTCTTCAGCAGTACGCACCCACCGGGGTTCGAACCCAGGACCTTCTGGTTACAAGGCGAGCTAGCTCGTAGACCATTAAGCCACTGAGACTCAATCCAATGGCCCATGAATTCTAACCTCTTCCAATTTACTACATAGCTCGACCGCTAGCCGATGTCTTTGGCGAGTATTTGTCCTCACACTCGACCTGCTGAGCCCTACTGGTCACGACTTCCCACTGGGACCCCAGGTAACTACCCCAGGTTGCCAATGAGCATCTCATTGATATTCAAGTATTGGTTTGTAGGGATTTGGTTGATTGGTTACAGGATTTCATCATGAGTTGACATTGGTTAGAGAACCATTTATAGATTTTCATGTACATTATTATAGATTATTATAAGCAAACAAACGCAGTCTTCTGATTGGTGGTTTCTCGTTGAACGTTAATCTTCCATCTCTTTCTGGCCATTTCTTGACGATCAGATTATCTATCTGCAAATTGTATCCGCCTACACAAAGTCTGCTGTGATTGGTTTTTGAATCATTTTTTTATCTTATTTTTCTCGCGACCAATATTACGGACGTAAGCACTGACGTAAATTACTGCCTACCAATTTGGCTAGCAGCCAGCTTTCACGACAATAGTACTTCGATAAATTCAGTTTTCGGCACTCCAGCATGTATTCTTATGCTTACCGTAATTGTTGTATGTAACTACAGTCAAGGAGATTGTTCCCTGGTAGCGAGTCAATCCCTGAGTCGCTAAAGTCACTTAGGGTTAAGTCCATTAACACATCTATGATGAAGTTGAATAGAAAAGGGGATAATGGGCATCCTTGACGGACACCACTGGTCGTCATCAGTTCAGATGACAGCTCGCCGTAAGCCCTCACCTGGCTGTATGAGTACGAATAGAGTGCCTTAATCAGTGCAATATATTTTCTTGGAATTCCCTTTACAGCCAAGCATCTCCAGAGAACTTCTCGATCGACAGAGTCGAATGCTGCCTTTAGGTCAAGAAATATAATGACTGTTGGACGCCGGTAGGAATGCCTATGTTCTAGAATCTGTCGGAGGGTGAAGATATGATCAATACACCCTCTTCCTGGTCTAAAGCCTGCCTGGCTCTCTCGTGTTTGTACCTCCCGAGCACCACTCAGTCTACGCATGATTATTGAGCCTAAGACTTTAGATACTATATTAGTCAAGCTAATCCCTCTGTGATTATCACAGGAAGACTTGTCTCCCTTCTTGTATATGGGGATAATCAGTGACTTACACCAACCCGATGGGACTTCTTCTGATTCCCAGACGCTGCCTAGTACCTCAGTTAATGCAGACAGTAAGCTGTCTCCACCGTACTTAAATACCTCTGGAGTCATTCCATCAGGTCCCGCTGCTTTGCCTAGTTTCAGATTGGTGACAGCTTTAGTAACCTCAGTTAGTGACGGAGGACCTGTGTTTATATCCCATTCAGGGAGGTGTTGGATGCTCGGAAGGTTGAGCGTGGCTGTGGGCCAATTAAACTGCTCCTCATAATGCTCTTTCCAACGATCCAGTCGTCTATCCTGGGAGCTAATTATAGTGCCATTTTTTTCCGAGATTGTCTCACTGATGATTTGTCTTCTCCCACCCGTTTCCCTGATGAGTCTAAAGAGTTGCCTGGTGTTGCCTATCCTCGAAGCTTTCTCCATCTCTTTGGCTTTTGTCACCCACCACTGTTCACGGTCCTTGCGGAGACTTTTCGTAAGTTTCCTTTTGTGCAGCTTTCGCTCCTCATTGAATTCGGAGCTCGCCGGAATAAGTCTTCTAGCATCTATCAGTTCGGATGAGGCGGTGGAGATCCAGTGGTTTTTACTCACCTTTGGGTTTACCTTATTCACAGCTTTTACAGCTGTATCTATGGCTGCCTGGATATTTTTCCAAGCTTCTTCAGGGTGAGCACAGCTGTCGAACACAGATATGTGTTTAGCTAGTTCTTCCTGAAATACGGATTTAGTTTCCTGATCGAGCTGGGGACGTGATGGTTTTACCGCCAGCTGTTTCCTACGTCCGTTCAGTCGTAAGCACACCCGAGCGCGGACCAGTGCATGGTCGGTATCTACACACGTGTTCCAGAAGGAGCGACAATCTCCTACCGACCCACGCCAACGATAGCTTATTGCTATGTGGTCTATTTGTGTCCAGCGTTGGTGGTTTTAATCCAAACATTTTGTGTTTATGATTGCGAGGTCACCTATATAAAATTATCAACTTATATCTCGTCATGATGTTTTTATACAATGTTTCCTACTTATTATCCTTGCAGATACAAGAAAAGTTCTCTTCACATTTAGTCAGCATTCTTCCGCAGTTGAAGAAGTCAAATCTGACTTCAGATTTAATCCAACCTCTGCATCAACTGTTAGTTTCAATAACAGAACGTCAACATGCCTTGCATGTGTCAGCAGCACAAGCTTATGCCACATTTCTTACTATAGTAGATCAGTCTGGCGTACCTGAAAATTCGCTCTTTTACAAACCAATCACCCAATTAGATATCACAACAAGTAAGTTTAAATATATGCATAATTCACATTTTGCAAAACAACAAGGAAAACTCATTGAATATCTAGTTTATCTCAGATCCAAAAACAGTATACCTATTCGAACTATTCTTTTACTGCAGGTGTTTCACTTGCAAAAGTAACTAGTGGAAGTATTTCTAGATAAAGGATAAACGAATGATAATTTTAACAGAATATTGACAGAACGGATATTTGTGAAGCGAGATTGATATTATACTCTCAGGTATTTTTAATCAACTGCTTGAATTGTAACAGGGTCTGACTTCAAAGTACTGTTGATAAAGTAGCATAGCCTTATACAAACAAGTATCCACAAAATGTCGGTAATCTTAGATAATTTAAAGCTTCATATGACATATCACCGAAATCATTCAACTCCAATGAGAAATCAGTGCTACCTAATGGATCAGAGACTTGGCGCGTCATAAAGAGCATGTCAAACAAACTACAGACCTTCATTAACAGTTGTCTTCGCTCAATACTCAAGATCAGATGGCCGGCCAGAAAAGATCAGCAACAGGGATCTCTGGCATTGAGCAAACCAATGAAAAACGAATTGTGCAACGAATATGCAGAAAGAAATGGAGATGGATTGGTCATACTCTGAGGAAATCATCAAGTGACATCACTAGACAAGCCATCGCTCAAGTGGAACCCGAAAGGGAAGCGGCGAGTTGGTCGTCAGTGCAAGGGTGACTTGGATGAGGTCATGTGAAGAGGAGATGAAAGCATGTGGGCAGACTTTGAGCCAGGTGAAAACTTTAGCAGAGAACCGAACGCAATGGAGACTTGGGGCTGAAGCCCTATGTTTCTCTAGGAATTAAAGGAAATAATAAATAATTTTGCATTTTATAAAATATGTAAACATTTCTTTTAATCGAAAGTATTTCTGTCTTTTTAATTTAGCAACTTTGAAATTTCTGGATTTGTTGTGCTCTCCGTCTCGTAAGCTCAGAAGCATGATTTCTGGTTTCCTAGATCAAGCCAATCCAGTACTACAGGAATTCTGTCAAAGTCATTCTTTGGGTGTAGATAAGAGTGAACTTCAACAAGCAAAAACAATTACTTCCAGTTCAACATTAGGTGGTCCAACAGTCTGGGGAACCTGTTTACCTCAAGTTCTGATTCAATTAGGTTTACCGGATGACATGATTCGAAACTGTTTAGTTGCACTACTGAACCGACTTATCATTATTGATAAAGAAAATGTTAGTTCCAAATGGAGTTCTCCGTCTTACCGTCTAGCTGCCCTGCTGGTTTTTCCGGCCGTAGTTGCTGCTTCAAATCCTGTTACCACAAATATTGGACAAAAATGTATGATTATAGAAAAAAGTATTTTATATTTTAAATATCATAAATTCATATAGCCACTGTTTGCATTTGTTTGGTTAGCTTTGTGTACATGCCACTTTTATGTAGTAATCTTATACTGAAAATCGCACAGTATCAGTTTTACTTTTAAAAATGAAACATGGATGGATTTGCACTCGAGGTTAAACGTCGAGTACTAGCTAAGGAGGGGAAATCAATCGACGAGGCTGTGAAGCTACATCGACTGCGATGGTTGGGACATGTGTTACGTATGCCTATCCATCGCCTTCCTCGATGGGCAATGTTAGCTGACATGGGGGCAGGTTGAAAAAGCGCCAGTGGTGGTTAAACCAAAACATGGCCTCATCAGTCAGTGAAATCCACAATACTTAGTTTAAGCCAGCCACGTAGGAAGTTGTAGACTTCCTGGTTGACGTCTTCGGGATGGTAAACACCAATGGCTGGAGACAATCGGCAACGTGGTTCAAAATCGTTATCAATGGCGCAACTGCATCCACTTTTTTGACTTATAATACCCCAAAAAACGATATTGTTCTTCGATATTACTATTCGTCACTCAGCATCAACAACAAAATTCGGATTTTCAATACAAACGTCAAGTCAGTTCTATACGGATCAGAAACTTGGCGAGCGGGTCACAAAGAATATTTCCAACAGCCTGTTGCAGACGTTACCTTTACCAACAACTGTCTTCGCTGGATCCATCCTGAAGATCAGATGGCCGGCCTGGAAAGAATCATCAATAAGAAACTATGGGAAGAAACAAAACAAGAACCAATCGCCCAACAAATATGCAGGAGAAAGTGGAGATGGATTGGACACTCGCTGACGGGGCCGCTGGGTAACATCGCGCGCGCGTCAGGCCATTGCTTGAGTGGAACCCAAAAGAGAAGCGGCGAGTGACATGAAGGAGATCGTGTGAAGAGGAGTTGAAACAGCGTGGACTAACACGGATACAGGTGAAAAGTACAGCAGAAGACAGAAGCAAGTGGAGGAGTGCAGTTGAAGCCCTATGTTCCACTAGGAACCCAAGGGAACAGCAATAATAATATTCTCTGTTTACTGTCTCTATTTTGCATTAACTCCTACTTTCTTCTCTGGCTTTGTGTGCTAAGTGAAGTGTGGCGACTCGAACTACTGCACATCAGTGCAAAGTTCTATGTTAAAGTCAGCCAATCAGAATTTGCATATTTTGACGTCATTTTTTAATTGAAGATAACTAACAGTACAAACTACGTGCATTACAGTTTGGCTGTTTGATGCAAATGTTTTATTAAAATGAGCCAGACATATTTGATGTGATATCAAGCTTAAGGAAAACGATTGATCACATCTTATTTCATTTTATTGTAGATATGTTACCGGATGTGACCCTAGCTGAATTCGATACCTTAAAAAATAGAATTAATATCAGGGAAACTTGTTAATTTACAATATAAGAATGTTATAATTTTAAAAAAAATTGTTAAGTCCTTTGAACACAGCATGAATTTGCGATATTCCTAGCACTGACGTTAACTCCCTAATTGATTAGTCTTTTAATGTCATCACATAGCAATTTTGTTCCTTCTTTTCAATATTTTTTAGGCAATTCTCCTTATTTTACAAACAGTCCTGACCATACAAGTTCTGTATGTGCATCTATCTTGAAGCCAAAAGTCGATCCATCTCATTCATTTTCACAAATAGTAGCAGCTTTGAGAAATTCAGGTTTAGGTGATCTTGTTGAACGTGTAGAAATTTTTACCTATGAACTACAGCGTATTACTGTTCTGTGGGAAGAATTATGGCTGGGTTCATTAGTACAGCACTTGGATGAACTGTCAAAAAAGGTAATTAATTAATTAATTATTATTGCTATTGAGGTAAATATTTCCCAATGACTGCTGTTTTCTTTTTGTAGTTCTTGCTACTTTTATGCCTCGCTTACCCAATAAGATAATCCTATGCTTAGAATGACATGTAAATCCATACTCATGTAAAGTCTAAATTGTTGGCACTCTATTTTAATTCACGTATTCCCCAGAAATTCAGTCATCAGAGTAAATGTGTTTTCTTGTCATTGAATATATTTCATTGTATCGAATAAGCTCTCTTCGACAACATTTTCAGCTAAGGTTTTGAAACCTTAGTGAATTTATTTGAATTTTGTGTGAATTACATAATTATTCCTCTGGACGACCTTCGTTGCCGTCAGTCATTAATTTGCATTGGCATCAATCCTTTTATTGACTTGGGATTCGGGTTTTTTGTCTTGACATTTTGGGTACTTCTTTTGTCTAAAATTCGTATATTTCCTCATTCGAATTGGTGTTCTAAGTTGTCAGAGTACGTTTCATGGACTGGATATCATGTCTTTTGACAGCTATTTTGTCATCGTGGACGCCAAAATGAAAAGAACGTCCAACTTGAACAATATGATATTTTTCAGATGTTTCACTTTATGTTGTAGATGATATCGGTTTTGTGTCCTTTCATTGTTTCATCTTTTGGATAACATAGTATACATTTATTTGATTTTGTCGGTTTGTGGACGACAGCTATTTCAAAAGGTTTCAACAGTCTAGAATTGATTTCAGAGATGTTCTTCATATGTAGTAGGACGATTTTCTTTGTTCTATCATGCGATGATTTTGAGTTGGTCAGTTAGGTTGGGGGTAGGTATCTTTTGATAAAGTTTTGTTGATATCCACTTTTTTGGGGACAGTCCTAAGATATTTTGCCTCTACTCTCTTCAAGGCCGGATGACTATAGTGTGTGTCCCCTAGCCTCTTAAACTTTTCGTACTGTTGGATTGTTGTTGTTGCAACTTATTATTTGACGTGTACACTTAGGTTCATAATTTTCTCTTGGTTATTCACTTGATTTAGACGTCTAAAAATAGTATCACGTTTTTGGATGTTTCTTCTCTTGTAAGTTCGATGTCGTCGTAGACTTAGTTTTGTTCAAGAACCCTCATAAAATTATTGTGATCGTATTATTTTCATGCATCATTTTCTATACCACAATGATGTTGTTCTCAAAAGTTTATTAACCTCCAAATTATGTTCAGTTTACTAGGAATCATCATGTACTAATTTTCGAAGGCTTGAATGAATTACTCACACTAAATTTAGCATTGCGTGATTTCTGTGCAGTAGTTGATGGATAACTGCAGAGTCGACTGCACTACAAGTTCTTTATTCTAAAAACTAGATATGTTTTTTTCTCACCATCTGAGAACACTTATTTTACTATTTCAATAATTTGTAGATAAACATTTTGGAGTCGGAACTGAAACGCGCTGAACAAAGTGATGTATACAAAGGTGCTAGCTATTTGAAGGCATTATCTAAGCATGCATCTGATGGACTTCTCTCAGATGAAAACGAAAACACACTTTCACAATCAAGTGACGTAACCACAGATGATACTGTTGCTTCATTGTCAGTGTATGATACTGAAGATAAACTGGTGACGCATAAAGAGTTTTCAGAGGCTGTTATTCTAGCGAAGTATATTGCTACACTTCAACCGACTCTTGATTTGATATCACAACTAAATGCTTTAACCATGCTCGTGAAACCTGAAACTCCACATGAAGAATGGTTCCAAAAGACCTTTGGACAAGTAAGATTTTTATTTCTATATTTTTGATCTTTCATACACTACGACATTTTGTGCGTCTGAAGTTTATTCACTTGCGTAAAAACTTAGAAAAGTTAGATTTAATGTTTTCTTTGCCGGAAGATGTAAACTGCGCGTACACCTACCTATCCTAACTCGGTAATCTAATGAATATCACTTGACGATGAATTCTAGCCTTCAATCTTATTGATGGTATTGGATTTATCACAATCGTGTTACCGAATAAGATTTTCTATATGTCAGATTCTAGTAATTCTTTAGCTTTTCAGAATAACATACATGTACAAGTCAATTACCAGCTATCAGTTAATATACACTAAGCTGTCACCCACAGGTTTGTGTTGTTAACGAATTATCATAGTAGATTAAACTAGCGTTTACAGATGGTAGCGATTGTTCAGTAGTCTAGTGTTCGAACCATTAAGTTATTCTCTATTTGATTGGCTGTTAAACACACGTACTTTGTGTGTTATTGGTATAAGTATAAAACTTGGGCACTGTGGTAGAGCATAACTCCATTATGGATAAGATTTTATTCTCATAGATCACACAGTGTCGTACAGTAATATTAACTGATGACGTTTCGAGCACAAACTATTGCTCATAATCATATCAAGTTACTCACACAAATTTATTTCCTTCATTTATATGCATGTGTGGAATCGATTAGATATTGGAATACAATCAGTATGAGATTAATGTACATTTAGAAATAATAACACGAGTGTTATTGACCAATTACAATTAAATGGGAAATAAGACGAATGTTTTTATAGTCATAATAAGTTATTTGTTAGAATGTTGTGAGGTGTTTGGATTGAAATATAATTTTATGATAATTCATTATCCTCTTCTGATTTGACGGGTGGTAATAATATCTTCTATATTTCTGGTATTTGCATTGAGTCCTTTCTGTTGCATGTGTTGGGTGTGGACTCGATGAACAAGGATTCCGTAATCAACCTCTCTCTCCACCTACCTATATTACTTTTTAGAATTTTAACCCTATCCCACCCTATTGTGTGGTTGCGTGTTAATGCATGCATTGCAATTGCTGAGCTTTCTTCTAAATTACTTATCTTTTCAGGGTCAACCATTCTTCCCTTAGCTAAATTCTTATGTTCTGATAATCTAGCTACACTCGTATTATTATTTCTGAATGTACATTATCTCATACTGATTATATTCCAATATCTAATCGATTCCACACAGTATATAAATGAAGGAGATACTTTGTGTGTGTTCATGTTAATAGTTTTATATTTCGTTTATTCGTCTTTATCACCACATAAATCTTAATTACAGTTTCTGCTAACGTACATATCGCAATGCGACGTGATGTTTAAAGTTGCCACACCTCATATTTGCACTTCACTTCCACTGCATATTTGCTAACAGTACTGGATACCGAGTCTTTTGGTAACTACTTTAGTATGATATATATATATATATATATATTGTCACATCATATACATGTATATCGTAATGAAATATAATGCTAGTAATAAAGTGATTTTATTCTTATAATATTCTAGGCGATTAACGAACTACAAGAAACCCTGTCACAACCGACAGATCCTAAAGATGTGAATGAACCTATTTTAATTATTCGTCGACTCATCCAACAGCTTCAAACGTCACATCAATCAACATTTTCTCAAATTCATACTGTTTTTCGTGGGGGAGGAGCCCCAGATATTGATATTAAAGTATCAAATAACAATATTGCTTACTTACATCTTCGTCAGCTCAGTCCTCGACTTTCAAACATGCATTTCGAAAACTGTATGATTTCATCAGATAAACTAACCTGCGGCATCCCACTGCCTGGTCATTTTGGAATAGAAGCATCTCATTTGGGTAATAGCATTACTATTCTTCCAACGAAAACGCGTCCCAAGCGTTTACTACTTAGAGCACAGAACGGCCGTACGTATCCTTATCTTTTAAAAGGTTTAGAAGATTTACGCCTTGACGACCGTATAATGCGTTTGTTTGAGATTACAAATCTTGCTGCAGTTCAGTTGTCATCAGACGGTTCTGGTTATTGTGAAAATATGTTGGCTCGAACTTACTCTGTTACTCCCTTGGGTGTACGCTCTGGTCTTTTGCAGATGGTACAGGGCGCTGTTCCTCTTTACAGTCTCTATAAAAAGTGGCAAATAAGAGCTAATAAGCTGTCAGCTAATAATTCTTACGTGTCTTCCACAACTGTAATTCCAAGACCTGGTGAATTGTTCCATGCTCGCCTGAAAGAATTGCTGCATGCGTCCGGTCAGCAATATCAGTACCAGTCTCGCTCTCATTGGCCTTTGGAGACATTACGAGAAGTCCTGACTTCTTTGGAGGCCGAAACGCCGGCAGACTTGTTAACTCGTGAGTTGTGGGCTTCTAATCCGTCTTGTGCTAGTTGGTGGAGGGTTTCACGTGCGTTTGCTAAGTCGGCTGGATTGCTTAGCAGTCTAGGATATTTAGTTGGTCTTGGTGATCGACATCTTGATAACCTTCTCATCGATCTATCAACTGGACGTATCGTGCACATCGATTATAATGTATGCTTTGACAAGGGTAAGAGTTTAAAGGTGGCTGAAAGAGTTCCGTTTCGGTTGACAAGGATTTTGAGACATGCTCTTGGACCTGCAGCCCAAGATACATCAGTGCGGGGATCATTCCGGTTTTCAGCAGAGAACGGTTTACAAGCTGCTCGTCATATAGTGGATCCTTTACTAATACAACTCAAGGCCTTTTTGATAGAGCCCTTAGTCGACTGGCAGAATAAGAAACATTCCACTAATAATTCTCAAGTTGTGACTGATTTTATTCACTTGTCTGCCTTTCATGGGGGAGGGAGCACCAGCTCTAGGCATTACCACTCATTGTCAACTAACCGACGGCTGCGACGTGTTGATTCAGAACTTCGTATGTATTCAGGTCTACTTACCTTACGACTTGTTGAACTTAGTCACAGTTCATGTTTGGATTCAGTATTTTCTGTTCTGGACTCCCTTATTTCGCGCTTAGCTGTGTGGACGGAACTAACAAAGGCTCGTCAGCATGCATCACTTCTGAATGATCGTTACATAACTTTGCAAAATGCTGCTCGTGATGATTTATTATCTTCTGAGCGTCACTGTCAACAAGTGGAACAGAGTGAACGAAAAATTGAAGAATTGTATAAAAAACTTTCTACGCAAAATAATTTTTGGATGGATGAAGTCTTATCACACTTTCAAATTTTAGTCACCTAACTGATCCCGAGTGGTTGCCACTTTTACTAGAATCTAATAAGGTGTCAAGTTCTCCACTTGTCACTGCTTTATCAAACTATCACTCAATTGCTCGAATTTATCTTGGGAATTCGGAGTTTACGCATTCAATGGCTTTATGGTTGGAGGAAATAAAGAAGTTCCACTCACAAATGAACATTTTAATTCAGTCATCACAGAGTGACATTGACTCTTTAGTGACTTTCATCTCATCGAACACACCGCAGTTTAGTAGTCACTTTGATTCAAAACTAGCTTCCTTACTGGAACGAGCAACCAAAAACAGTTTTGATGGCTTATCTGAATTACGCAGACTTAGAGATGAAAATATAAATACGCATCGTGGTTATTTCAATTCGGATAGCGTTATCCATGAAGTCGATAATTTGAATTTATTCATCTGTGATCAAGGTGCTGATGGAGTAACTGCCTACAGCTGGGCCTTATTGGACTATGTTTTAAGTATCGCAAGCAATTCACTTGCTCTTGAGCTCGAGTTTGACGAATGGAGTGAAGCCAGTAGCTGCCGAAGTGATAGAAGTAACTCAAAAGCTCTTCCGCTAGATCCACTCAGTACCTATGCAGACTGCTTAGTGAATTTATTCACCGTTCTTGGTCACCAGCCTACTGGCGTTTGGAACTTCAGTGCTGGTTATGAAGCAGACGTAAGAAGAGAACTATCGTTTCTTTTAGCTGTCAGGGATTCCGTTTCTTGTATAAGTCAGTTGCATGCTAATCTAACAAGACTACTTGTTCCTGAAGCCATGACGGCCCTTATAACAGCGAAAGTTTCCATGGTGAGCGATTTCTGCAGATTCGTTATGCGTCACATAAACGAGTCAAATACAAGTAATCTCAAAAAACTCGTAGATGATTTCATTTTAAAAGATCCAGTCTCAGATAACCAAGGTGATTTGCAACTGCATCATGTTCTTGTTGCCGTTCACCTTGCTCTCACAAACGCCACTGCTCAAATGGAGGAGATAGCTGAACGAGTTCGTTCATGTACCATTACAGCTTTGACATGGTACTATGTTGATATTATTTCCCAAGTAACCAATGTTCTTGTGCCAAAGAGTTTAGAAGGTGCGACATCTTTGTGGAAATGGGAGTTAAGTAGATCGAGCCGACTATCAGGAGTAGTTACGCCCTGTTCATGGACTGACGAAATATATACCTCTGGGATGATGGCACTTGTTTCCATACTTGAAGATGGACTAATCCACTGGAATGCAATACATCATGGTTCTGTAAATAAAGTCAGCGATTTGAATTTACAACCGTTCAATGATCCAATAAATTATTACATTGGTCGTTTGTCATCGCGTATTGCATTAGCAAGCATGGTTGGATTAGCATCCGGCCGTCTTTTCTGTGCACTTGTAGAAAATACAGGACTGTCTATTCGCAGGCTGCTAGCTGAAAATGAGCCGCCAAATAATGCAGGCGGTATGCCAGATGTGTTAATCTTATCTGCAGAAAAGATAATTGAAAGTGTTAATGTACACATGTCAATTACTCAGTCAATCAATGTGCAACATCTCAGGGGTCCTGCTGCTAACCTTATTCATCGACTCGTTACTCGTTCAGATCAAGAAAGTCAGTTTTCAGTCGGTGTGGCTGCACTCGAAGCAGCAGAACAACATTACAAACATCTTCGTTTGAGCATGTCAGCGTACAATTGGAGGCATATGACACAAGAAGATGAGAAGTCGGCGCCTTACCAACATGATCCATGCTTTTCTTTAGCAAATGTTCTTGATTCAATTAGAGATGCCGCAAAATCAGAAAGTGTATCCACTGAAGGGGTGTTCGGAGTGTCGGCGGACTCAATCGCTTTCTCTATCTGTTACATTGAAACATGGAGAGTCAAGTATGTTTATTTTTTCCTTTGAATTATATTGCTTTACATTATCCTGGGATTTACCTATGGGTGAAATTAAGTGTACGAAAATTGATTCGTCCAACATACTGCTAAAACCTGTTCCACATTTTCCATTTTAGCAGAGTTAACAGTATGGATTCCTTTATACTTTTGTAGAATTTTTCTCGTCATGCTCAAGAAAATAAGTCTGGTTTTTGCATAATCATCTACATATAGAGACAAATGGATGTCTCGTATATGGACGCTGTAATGTACAATAAATTTCACACCCACATATTTTGCGTGATACGTCTCACTCAATGTAAAATAGTCTATTTTTGAAATATACCTTAGTCGCTATTCTCCTAAGTTTGTACTATGTGTATACACTCATCTAACTATTGTAATGCTAAGTGTATGTTTTATGAATCTACATAAGTAGTGACTCATAAGGAACTAAGACAATTGGTCATACTCATGAATATCTTCTGAGAATGGAGATTCTAACATATAGTCGGAAAAAATATTTTTTGACACAAAACTGTCAACTTACACTATTCCAGTGAACGTTCTGATTCTAGAATATATTGACTGATTTTCTCAGTATATTCAACAACTGTCTAGAACTAACTCAACTCAGGTTTACAGTCTGTTCAAACTATATATTCATTTGACGCAGGCAAACGTGGTGACTTAAGTGTATAAAAATATATCACACTCAAATCATCACTTGTTGCTAAGCCAGGCAGGTTTTCTAACTTACTTTAAGTAGTCTACTGTTTATTCCAAGCATTCAATTTAATATAGTATTAATAAATTTCAACGTTTACTTTTCAGTGGTCTTAGCAAATGTCCTTCATTCTTAAAATGCATGGATTTGGTCAATGAACTAAAGGCAACGAAAGAACAGAGAGAAAAACTTACGTCGGAGTTTAGTGAATTGGATAGGGTTGTTTGTACAATCAAGGTGGGCATTTATATACTTTTATAACTATATGTATGCTTTAGTTTCTTATGTATATCAATAATAGTCTCATCAGTGGTTAAACGTAAAAATGCATAGTAAATAATATGGCCGATAAAGCATCTCGATAACAACAAGATAGATGTTGTCATTCGTTGCGATTTAGGACTACAGCTAATGCATATAAGCAGAACATCAGGGAAATTTTTTCCGTAATAGATATTACTCTGACAAGTGAGCGTTCAGTTATGTGAGACATTTGTGACTGAAGCAGTTCAAGTCTTAACTTGAATATGCATTGGTTTATTTTCATCAATAGTCAAAATTATTACAATTAAAACGGAGTTGTCATCTTAACAAAAAAACTATAGATTATGTATATTTGATAACAAAGTAAAAATAACAATTCACTTATTTCAATATCTTTTTTCAGGATGCCTATGCATTAGATTGGCCAATACTCAACTGGCTTCCTTCATCTGCACTCAGTGACACAAATATGAAATCCGATTTGTTTGATCGTTTTAAAGATGACCTTGATTCAGCAGAGTTGGCAGTCAAAAAATTACAACAGCGTATGACGCTTATAAAACAAGAATTCATCGATATGTGTTCGAAATCGGGTTCAGCGAATGATGATAACGCTAACAATTCATCATTGCCTGTTGTAGTATCAAAACGAGCCAGTCGTAACTTACATGATTCAAAGTCAAATAAACTGTCTGTTCTACAGCCCTCAGTTTCACCATCTTTGAGTTCTGATATCTCAATGAATTCTAAACAACCTACAATACTAACGTCACTGCGATCTCATTTGAGTACATTACAAAAAGAAAAATTGTCTGACATTCGGCAACTTGTTAAGTGTCTCAGCCGTTATGATTCTATCCGATCATCTTTATTGTCCTCCAACCAGATTTCAGTCAACGAAGCATGCTCACCTGCATCAAATTGGAGCGTTTGGCTAGATAATCATCAGAATTGGACTACACTGGTCGTAAATATGCTAAAGAATCTTTCAAAATTAATTACGTCATTTTCCGTATCATCGAAGAGTTCTGTTTCCGAGTCAGAATCAGTTTGTGAAGGAATAGATGAGACGGAATTAGCAATGACTCTCAATGAAGAATGCGTACTTGTTAAATATAAGCTTATAGTGGAATTGATTTTACCACTCTTGATTGAAGTTAATGAACATGTTACTTCCAATTCATATCTATACAATTCCCTTAAAGGCTTTTTGCAGATGCTCAATACACACTTCAAAACTATTGAGGAAACTTTCCTAAGTGAAATTAAAGAGTTAGCAATAGAAAATGTACAATCAGTAAATACAGAAAAAGTAAAACAGGTAAGCAGTCAACTGTAGTTTTTCACTCATATTATGTATCCTATTTTTACCGGGTATGAAATAACCTACATTATGGTTTTTTGCTTCACAGAAGACTGTCTCGGGAAGGTCACTGAACAGGATGGCTTTATCTGTTTGGAATCGAGTTTATGATCGTTTGCATGGATTCGATTCGTTTCTTCCTATGGCTGATGTGAATGAACCGATGTCAGTATGCGCTCAAATCGATGCATGCATTCGTCAAGCCACTGATGTTGATAACCTCGCTCTCATGTATGAAGGATGGACAGCATGGGTGTGAAATTTGTTCAAGCAAAGTAGAAATCTGCATTGGTTTTGTCTTTCGATTGACTTCTAATCCTGCGATCTCAATGGTCCATTGGTGAATGGATGGATCGAGTAGGTACCTCTAGGTAGCTTGAGGAAATCCTGTCCATAATATCCATCATCTATACGTGAGAACATTGTCGACATGTCAGTTTCTTTTGATGAATTGATGGTAAGTTATATTTCCTGGTTCTGTTTTTGGTTTTTATTTCTTTAGTGCAGTCTTTTTAATAATAACTTAGACAGCATTTGTCAGTCTTCGCATTATGTTCTTTAGCATCTCGTTGTTGATTTCCTTGTTCATCTATTGTGTAATCTTCAAAATTGCACGAATTTTAGTTTTTATGTTGGTGATATCTTATTATGCGATAATTCTCACGGTAGTTATGGTGTAATGGGTTTAGTTTAATATTCTTAAATAGGTTTAGCAATTTTTGGGATAATCTGCCAACTGGGTGCACAGAAAAATTATTTATAACCCAGTAAATAAGGCTATTTGTGATTGAATCAACTTAAACCAGAAATGAAAATTTATGATGTCCAATCGTAGAACATAATCCTCGTTTTTCAAATTTAGACATCTAACAATTGAAAACCCCATAGTTGAATATGGTATTTTTAAGCTTCATGATGTGTCAGTGTATTGCCGATTCGCTACGTTTTGACATTTTAATTACTCCCAAGGACTTATACCCTATTTACAGAGCGCTCAACTTTATCTTCAAAGCACATACCAAAGGTGAATTCCTTAACTGTGCGTAAAATTAAATCTTCCCATTGTTGTTTTTGGCTTCTATAGTCAAATACTTTTTCATAAAGTATTGTGCCTGTTTAGTTATATATAACCACTGCTACCTTGACGTGGTGGTCGTGCTTGAACACCGCAATGACCTAATCAAGCTATACTGGCTGAGACTTATGTCTCTTGAGGTCCTACCATGCCAGGCAGGTTGTTTGGATAGCGGTTACACAAAAAGCAGCTACCCAATCCAATACTATGATACATACAAAACCACAAAATTTCATGCCAGATCGGCCGTGGCCGGGATTAACAACGACCGCGCTTCCTGCTGCCGTGTCACAGGGCAGGAATGATAAATATGCTACTGAGACACACAAAACAATAAAGAACAAACAGACAGACTGTTGATAAAGACAGTCCTGTTCCCAATCGTATATTCCCCGTGTTCATCAAAGTATATTAATATGATGTATTCTACAAAATCCAACTTCCCGTGGATGCTTTTGAATGCGTGTTGCATTTGTGTACGTATTTTTTTCGATATTTTTCAGTTCTAACAACGGATCTAAAATTGACTGTGATGTGGAGCATCATTACACTAACAACTTTATCAATACATCCTAACTAAGGTCAACGTGGCTAGTATCTCAGTAAAACAAAACAGTCGTTTTTAACAACAAACTGTGTGAATTCACTGTATTGGGATTTCTGTCTCTTAACAATCCTTTATTTTTATTTCCTGGATCAATAATATATACATTTTTTCTGCTTTGATTATGTAATATTAACTTGTTCCCCACGATTTTTACTTTCTTCGTATTGTTTTCGTCCTTAGTTTATCAACCGTGACAAATGTTTATTTGTGTTTTATTGTTTATTTTTTTTTTTGTTTCTTGATTTGAACTTAAAATAAATGATTCTGTTTTGTTTTATGACATTTACTCAGCTGCATATTTCGACAAGAAAAATTAATGAAATTTGGAATATTCCTATTACTGTAAAATAACATAGACAGTTATATGTAAGTGTGAACTAGGAATAATACAAGTCGCGTGGTGATAGATTATCCATCCGTTATTTATTAGCACACTGAATAATTCAGGAGAAGTTATACCCGGTTGTCTACTGAGATTCACAAGTCTTCTTAGGAGTCAATAGTTTATTTATTCGAGGTCACTAGATATGTACTTTGTGACTAACTCAGATTATTTGCATTTTCCAAAAAAATTAATGCTTTTATTAACATGAAAATGGAGATACTAGTGCCACATAATATGCCCTTGGTAATTCAATAGCCCAACAGTAATTCATTAATGGTGTTAATCCTCTGTGCTACATTTTTACCTAACGTTTCACCTTAGATACTGTATCTGGAGTGTTATAAGCTGCATCCAACGATCGCCTCTATCCAATATCAGACCGCAAAGAGTGTCGTTTTTTCGAATTTATTATTTATCACATAATGACAGCTATCTATCTCACTAGGGATGCATTCGCTGATTTGATTTCAGAAAATTCTATGTAATAATCGTAGCGAGAATTGTTTTCGATGCTTGTTCAAAATTCAACCAGCTACTTGGTTTTATCTGAAGCCAGTGTATTTTTAAAGACTTCAATCGATAAAACGCGTTAATTCACTTTAAATTTCATTGTTTGACGTAAATGTTTGACTGTGAATTTTTTGCCTTAAAAAAAAATAATTCACATGAATTGTCAGCCTCTAAAAAGTTAAGCTACGCGTTTATTATTGTTAATTGACATGTACAAAACCCAGGTGTTGTGGATTAATTTTTTCCTAAATAAACATTTTTCATCACAATAATAGCCAGTTATGCGCCGAATATAACATTTTTACGTAGAATAACATTAGTTATATGGTGACGAAATAAACAGTATTTGTTTGACAAATGTGCTGAGCTGAATGCAGTTACAAAATATGGTGAAATGCGAGACGATGGTAATTAGTCATAATAGATTCATATAATGTGAAGGAAAATTGACAAGCCAGTTCAATGTTGTAAAAGGTGTTAGGTGAGTAGTTAGTACATAATAGTATGCAATGGGGAGGATATAATAAGATTGTGGTGAATAGTCCATCATGAAATAACCAATACATGGAGGCATATATTGAGAAAAGAGATAATATCGCTAATATGAAGTCAGAATAGTATGAATGGGATATTTGACGGTACTAGGAGAATTCTAGAATGAAAGGTATAAGTTGGAGATGCACTCCTAGAGGGGGGCAGAAATTTTAATTCCCACAACTGGAACAACGCTTGCACGTGTGCTTTCTGAATAAAAGACTGGTTTATTTGATCTTATTGCTTCAGCTGCATGTAGAAGACGTGGTACGTGGTAATTGTTTTGGAATGTGGTATATAACTTCGAAGGCCATGTTAACGTCGATACGATATCTTGTATGCTCCACTAAATGTGATAGAATTGGAATTTGTATGCCTTTGTTTTCACCCTTTTTAAATCAGTCTGTAGAACGCTCGCCAACTGCACATCACACTGTCCGGGGTTTGATCTCCGGTCCACCCACTCCTGAACCTCGTTAAGCAAGTAGTAAGACCAGTAAAAACAATGTTGGGTATGAGGATAGCCCCGTAAAATATAGAAGAAACCACTGCTATGGAGAATTCAAAGCTGTAGCTTGAAACCCTATATTCCACTCGGAGCGTAAAGGAATAAAATAAAAGCTACAACTTGAACCACAGGAACACTTGAGACTGTATTTGTTTGAGGAAAAGGCGAGACGTCCAGTTAAACACTGGGCTATAGGAAAACATAAGTCCGGAGTCAGAAGTTTCATTTATCGCCCTTCTTAGACATTGGACAGGATCTCCGTAAGAGTATTTCCGTTGAATTGTAGACGCTTTTTCCCCACTATTGACAGTTTATGTCTGGGACTATTATAACCTATATTGGCTTTATAAACTTGTCTGGATATTCGTTTTCGCTTAAAATATCTAGGGTGACCTTATACTAAATGATAATCACCCTATCAAATTACGTTTGTATTTCATAGGTACGAGGTTGAGGAAGTATTTACACCGAGCTTTGGTCTCTACCTTGCTAAATATTGTTCTTTTAATGGATCTATCCTTTCTTTTGTAGTGAGACGCCAAGAAAATGGTTGTTGCGTTCTTCGTAAGTGCGATGAGCATTATTGAAGTGGTTCAAAATTAAATCGCTACGTAGATTTTCATCGTACACTACAAAATTGTCATTCATGTAATCACAGTACAAAAAGAAAATTCATCATTTGGTGTAAACTATTAATATATAGTTGTAATTAATTTGATCTATTCCATGATACACAAATTTTTTCATCAACAATTTTCTTGGTACAGTTTGACTTTAGCTATTTCTTGCTTCAACAGACTATTTTCTGGATTCGCGAGAAAATTGTTAGCAAATATAGGATCTAGTGGGGATCGTATGGCAACTCCATCAGCTTGTTTATATATTTCATAATTATATAGGAACTATACATTTGTTGTACATTTGAGCAGTAGTTGATTAGTTTTACGCTCTTCTTTCTATAAACTGTTTGCAGATTAAGTTGACGCTTTGCACCAGAGGTACATCAGTGAGTAATGACGAAGCACCAGGGGATGCCATTTATCATTTGTGTCCAAGTATTTTTTATCTTATCAATAAACTGAAAGGTATTCTTGACTCTGTGCTTTACAAGCTGATCAAGGAGTTGAAGTAACTGTACCCACCGCTTTGCATTGTTGTGTTAAGGTGATTGAGACATGTTTAGGAAGAGATGGAGGAGCACTCCTGTACTTTTCGTAGATGACACACGCATGAAATGTTGCTACCTGCAGGTTTTAGGGGTTCATTACTAGCAGACTACTTCATAGCCAGCCTTGAGAACGGCGCACTCAATTCGTTCATTGACAATTTGCAATTGTACAAAAGATATGTGGATGATATTTTCGTCGTTTGCGACAAAAATTAAGACCAAAATCAGTTGCTACAAATATTAACAACTTCCATCCGGCAGTAAAATTCACTCTAGAATGCAAATCCAAAATTCCTTTTCTTGATGTGCAACAAACAAGACTACCTGGTGAAACCTTAAGAAAGTCAATCCATAGAAAACCCACTTGGAACAGTCAACTAAGAAATTTCTACAGTATCTATTGATCGGAAACGAAATCTGATTAAATCCCTTGCAACTCGAATACGATACATCTGCAGTCCTGGAAGCAGAACTGGATATTCTGAAAGAAACCTTCATTCAAAATGGATACCAAGATTCATCAACAAGAATGTCACACCAAAGATCCAGAGGAACGAAACATCACTTGTTTCAAAAAAATACTTTACATGGATCTGGATATCGAGGGAGATATTCTCAAGAGAAGAATTTCAGCATCTTTGAGAAGAACATTCACCGTAGCAACGGTAAGAGTAGTGTTCTCCGGTTGTCCTAGCTTTGGGACGACCTCGAAAAAGCGGAAAGATATTCATCCAGCTGCATCATGACTTCCTATGGGCTCGAGGAATCATACAACCGGCTGTCTGGAAACATAATCGAATATCAGTTAATGGGTGTCAGTGACGAACATATTACAGTTTCCTCCTTTCTGATATTTCTGAAAGCAGTCCAAAGTTAAGAATGGTATTTTGAATAAATAGATTATTATTAATTATTAATATCGTGGTACAGTACCAATAAGTAGTTGACGTTTCAGGCACAGTTTACTGCTCATAATCATCGGTATGATTACGGATTATATTCTAACACAGTCTCCAAATTCTTCTCTTACCTTAATATTTATGTTTCATTCTATTTGTAAACTTTATACTTTGTGTCCTGTATTTTGCTGTTGGATTGTCTTATGTCATGTGTTTCCAGACACCCGTACAATGTCAATCACTAACTTGAATAATAATAAATGATTCTAGTCTATCTGCTGACATGTTTAACCATCTTAATCAGGTATCAAGGAAGGGAATTTTAGACAGCTGAGGGAAATCGAAAGGAGTTAGCTCAGATTTCCTGTAAATGTAAAATGAAAACTTTTCAAAGAAATTACTGGTGGTAAGCAGATGAATAGTATTCCTTTGATGTGTGTACACAAGTATTTCATACATTCTCCCACAAATGCCAAACTTTCTAGTGTTACCAATGTTAATAAAACCTGCTTCCCTGGTTTCAGCACAAATGATGTTTTAAAATGTCTCCAGTCGCTGAACCCTTCTTGTAGCCTAGGCTTAGATGGTTTTGCCTAGCTTTATTCTTAAAAGTGTGCAGATTTCCTGTGTTACCCTCTCATGGGCATATTTAATGTATCTTTTTCCAGAAATCTCGTGCCAGCCGTTTCGAAGGACATTAAATTGTACCTATACCTAAGTTGTCTTACTAGAACATGTTTTAAGTTTAGACCTATTGCTATTACCTCCCCTTTTCTAAAAGCTATGGAAAAATTAATCTTACTTAATCTTCAACCTTCACTTAAAGCCTTTAACGATCCCAAACAATTCGCCTATAAACACAGTAGAAGTACTTTGGATGCAGCCACAGTCCTGCATCATAACATTGTATCCAGCTTAGTCAAGGGGGCTAAATTTGTTCGCTGGACCTTCCTAGATTACACATCTGATTTCGACTCAGTACCTAGAGACATTTGGTTAAACAAGCTTTCTGAAACTTAAACTGACTGTTGGGTTGTCAAATGGCTGTACTCTTATTTCTCAAGGAGAAAGCAGTACACTATATATCAGGGAAAGTCGTCCACTTCATTGCTTACTGAGGCGCTGTCCTTTCTCCTTCTCTGTTTTCTTTCTTCATGTGTGACTTGCATCACCCTGATGAAATGAACTTTGTCAAGTATATCGATGATCTAACTATTTCAATGTCTGTCAACTCCCAGCTTGACTGTACTAAGCTGAACAGCTTTCTACCAGGAGTTAGCAAATGGTCTTCGTCTAACGGCCTTAAACTAAATCCTTCTAAATCTCAAACTGTTAATTTCAGTTTCCAATGTAAAAGAAAGTTAAATGAAGCTGTTGCTTCCCATAAGTGATATAGAAATCAAGTCTGAAGTTAAGTATCTTGGATTAATTCTTTCTTCCGACCTATCCTGGTCTTCCCATGTCTTAGCGATTTCTAAAAGGATATTTCGTCTGACTTTTTACATTAAAAAACCGAGGCACTCAGGCATAACCCAACCACTTCTCTTACAGTTTGTCAACTCTTGCATCCTACCTATTCTTCTTTACTGTTCACTATTATTCTTTCCTGGATTGCTTAAAAAAGACTATGTTATACTTCGTAGAACTCTGAAGACTGTCAGTCAGTAGGGCGAGTGGTATCCTATTGGGCCGTATCGTTGACATTGTCACTGATAGGTACTTGATGTCATGCAGCAAATTTGCGAAAGGAATTTTGTCAGACTAGGAGCATTCACTCTACCCGCAGCTCCAACCTTGCTATTATTATTATTATATTTAATACTCTCAATTCGTGCTTCGAATACTTTTGACTTTATACCGTAAACGTGGTCGAATTCCTCTGGTTACTTTTGTTTTATTTCTTAGTTTTATATATATTTTGAGTAAATCAGATGCAATAATGTGACAAATTCTGAGAATTCCATTCTGTATTATAAGAACTATTTTTGGAATAAAATAGATTATTATTTTTTTTGATTTACAGCTTGATTCCACACTGTATTTTTGGTACAAGTATGGAATTTTCAGCATGGATATCACATGGATATTACTTTAACCTTGAATGAGATGATGCACTTTAAGCAGTTAGGTTCTCAGATCAGATTGACTGACTTCCTTTGTACGGTGACTAGTTGGTAGACTTTATCTGTCCTATAAAAGCAGAATCTGGTTTTCGCTTCTAATCGGTAGCTGATGAATGGTATCAAGCTCTTCTGCTTACTATGACTCATCCATTATTATTTAATACTAAATTAAATTACACTTAATTTTTCAAAAGTATCACGCACTGTTCCGCTAAGTGATTGTACAACACAGATTTCAATTAGCCCACTTCAAAGCTACTTTAGTCGCCATCTTATTTATATTCTGACAGCCATTAATTTGTGCACTGAGAATAGTTTTGTCACATGTGAAGAAAACAACGGCTAAACAATAAGGTGAGTTGAATAAAACTCCCATCTTCCTTAAGGTAATACTGGAAAAGCTGTATGGTTTGGCTGTGAAATGTCAGAGTCCACCGCCTAGAGAACCGGCCATTATCTCTATATATATCTGTGTTATATATATGGTGGATTCATCAACAAAAATTTAAATAGACCTAATTCTTTATTCGGTGGTAGGTGACTAGCAGTGGAATTCAGGATGCGCATTTCGTCCTATTTGGGACTCGTCATCTGGGTAGGATCCTTTTGTGATGTTTTGACCAAGTGGGCCAGTATAGAACTGTTAACTTTTTTATTACAACTTCACTCAGGAACACGAAACATCAAGTTTCTATAGCAGTAGTCAATATAAATGCCTTCATAGTAGTGGTTTAATTGATAGTTAACCTAGGCTTAGACTTAATTCTCAGTTAAAGGTTTCCAGGTGAACTCATTCATCTAAGTAACTGGTTGGGTGAGAACTTTTTCAAAGCCCGGTAGTAGTTTTATTCAAACTAAAAGATACAGAAAAATTTATTGTTCTGACAGTTTGGGCCAGTACATTTGAGGATATTAAATTACAGACCAGTGAAATATAATTATGGGAACTGATTGATGCTGTGGGAATTTAATCCTCAGAATTTTGAAATTCCTCTGGCACTTTGGGATCTATATTGTGTGGCGCTAAAACTATTACTGCAATAAGAATAGTAGTGATATAAATAAAGAAAAATAATCGATCGAGAATGATCGCCAAAGTACGCCATTCTACCGCCACTAAGCTTTTCTAGCTGTCTTCTTTTGTCTGTTAACAACTAATTTAATATATTTCTTCAATTCCTTCACATCATGTTCTAATGTAGTGGTCGGGTCACAGGCATCAAATTCTTCACAATTTATCACTCCATACGGAGAATCTTTGGATTCATCATCATAATAAAAACCTTGTTTTATGTTTTCTGGTATTCGTTGACTACTTTTCACTGATGCTCCCATTGCATGAGGATAAAACGCTCCAGGATGTTGTCGATAATCATTTGTAGCAAACCACTTTGTAGTAGCATTCTCCAAACAGTGATTTCCATAGACTGTGTGTTTGACTACTTCATTACCCACTGGGAACAGTCCTCCTTCAGAATATATGTTTCTTTCATTCTGATGTCTATTGTGACTACTTGCTGAATACTTGTTAGAAGAGATTTTGGAAGTATGAGTCCTTCTGTTAGGTTTTTTATCGATATTTTTCATTGGATGCTTTACATCTGGTAAGTGTATTCTTTGTCGTACTAGTGTCAGTCGTCCTATTCCTTCTATAACAATCTGTAAGAGTAGAAGAAATTAACAGTCATCATTATATTTCATGTCACTATGTTTGCTTGAATGTCGATACTAACAGAAGAATTTAAATGAATTTAATAGTCATTTTAAGCTCAATAACCATTCAATGAATGTATACCTAAATCCGTATTTCTCTAGCTTGCATAACTACAGTAGTCAGTTATTTTAAGCGATTTGAAAAGAGGAAGGTATCGACAAATCGAATGCTGTATACTTAATATCATTCTGTTTTCAAGTAGAAATGAAATTTCAGAAGATTGATAAGTGAGCAAAGAATATTCTTTGCTAAAACTTCTCCGTTAGATTCTACAGGTGTATTTTTGTAATAGTTAGAGAACAATGTCAAGTTACTGATATTGAAATTCCAAGAGGTATACGAGTGTAGATTGTTAATGGATTACAGCGGGAAGCATGTTGATGTGATGATATGCATTAATGTAAGACTAAACTTAACGTCAGATTTTAAAAGTAAATGAATATAAATAATGACCAGTATATGTAGTGATGAATATCTATGATCAGTGTAGACACTACACATTTTATCCAGACTGATTATAAACTTCATTAAAGCTAGAAATATCAAATTTGCAGCAGGCTCGCATTTACTGCAGCCTACCTGAAATCACAGTGGCTATAAGAGGATGATAATAACATACCTTAATTTTGGAATGGTAGCAAGGGAAATATTATAAATTACAGTATCCAAAATGTTAACATAATAACTTTTAGTTTCAATCATCATCAATCAATGTGAATTTCAAAGTGGGAAATAGTGACGTCTGGGGAGGAGAAGACAGAAAACAGACGAAAATTATGGACAGTGTTAGCTTCTAAGGTAACATAACAACAGTATAAAATTATGATCTATAAGACTGAAATCAGCTCAGTGAGCTGAAATCACTAATATGGATGGCTGCGTAAATCGTGTATTCAGAATCCAAATGCAGTGACCAAAATATTAAAAGATTGATTATACCCTCCATTTATAGGGGTTGGTGTGGTCAGAGTGCATAATTGCAATTATTATTATTATTATATCCTTTAATTCCTAGAGGAACATAGGGCTTCAGCTGCGTGTCTCCATCGCTTTCCGTCTTCTGCCAACTCTTTCACTCCGCTCCAGGTCTGCCCACATGCTTTCATCTCCTCTTCACATCAACTCCTCCATGTCACCCTTGCACTGACGACCAACTCGCCACTTCCCTTTCGGGTTCCACTCGAGCGATGGCTTGTCTAGTGATGTCACTTGGTGGTTTCCTTAGCGTATGGTCAATCCATCTCCATTTCTTCCTGCCTATTTGTTTCGCAATCGGTTCCTGGTTGGTTCGCTCCTGGAGATATTTGTTGCTGATGTTTTCTGGCCGGCCATCCGATCTTGAGTATTGAGCATAATTACAATGGCCTCAGTATATTGTATTGCTTACATTTTGGGTGCCTTAATTTGTAACAATTTCTCTGGTACTAATCATTCTGTCAGTGAAGTGTTATTTTCATTGTTTTTAACCTATATAATTTCAAATAGCTTACTGCTGATAAGAACTTAGGAAGCAAAAATGACGTTATTTTATACTGGGAATTCGCTCTTCCTTTCTTTATCGAAATTTATCAAGGGCACCGTGCGTATGAAGACTATAAACTTCACAGGAATAAATGGTAATATGAAAAGCAGAGGGAGAAAATGGGGTAGATGGTCGTGTGTGTGCGTGTCACTGTATTACTAAGGATGAATTAAGAAACTGAAAGTATATTTTGTACAATTGTATTGATAAGTAGAGGCAGAGGAAATTGGTAGTTACAGGATGGATAGCTAAAACCAAAAGGTGTGACGTAACGCAACATTTACGAATTTATATATCCCACAACAGGCTAGGGTAATAACTGTGGCTGGACTTGTTTCTTTTGTACACACCGTTCATGCTGTCTTAAGAGAATTGCTCTGGCTTCTTCTGTCTGGAGTATTTGGTACCTAATGATTTCAAGAAGAATAGAATCCTTTTGTAATGTTTAGATATGATAGAGAAGATTTGTCTGTCTGTCTGTCTGTCTGTTTTCGACATAGAACTTTGCACAAATGTGCGGAAGTTCAAGTCGCCACATTCCGTGTAGCACGCGAAGCAAGAGAAGAAAGTACAAGAAAAGCATAATAGAAACAGTGAGCAGAGGTGTGAGACAAAGGAGTAATAAAGAAATACAAAACAGTTTCATTGAAGATCATAAGTCACAGGGAGTGGATGCATCTGCGCCACTGAGAACGATTTTGAGCCATGTCACCAATTGTTTCCAACCATTGATTTTTACCGTCCCGAGGACCCCAGCCTGGAAGTCTACACCTTTCTACGTGGCTTAGACCAACTGTTGTGGATTTCATTGACTGATGCCAAGTTTTTGTTTGACCGCCGCTAGCTTTTTTCCAGCCTGACCCTATATCCGCTAACATTGCTCGTCGAGGGAGGCGATGACTAGGCATACGTAACACATGTCCTAACCATCTCAGTCTTTGTAGCTTCACGACTTCGTCGATTGATTTCCCCTGTTTACCTAGAACTCTACGCCTAACCTCCATGTTGCTCACCTTATTATGCCACTTTACACGGGAAATAGAACGCAGGCACCTATGATCAAAGACAGCTAGTCTTTTCATGTCTTCCACTCTCAGTGGCCAGGTCTCACAACCATAAAGGAGGACGGAGCGGACTGATGAGCAGTACACCCGCCCTTTGGTCGATAGTCGAACATCTCGTCTACGCCAGAGTCGGCGTAAACTAACAAATGCGAAACGAGCCCCTTGTATTCGTGCTGAGATTTCGTCAGAGATCAGCCCGTTGGGGCTGATGGTACTTCCCAAATAAGTGAAGCGGTCAACGTGCTCTACCACTTCACTTCCTATTTTTAAACTAGGCGTCGATGTAGTCCAGTCCTGTAACATCATCTTGCATTTGGCGGGAGCGAATCGCATGCCAAACATTCGTAGATTGCGGCTCAAGGTGTTCAGAAGACTCTGCATTTCGTCAGCGTCTTCGCCTAGAAGGACTATATCGTCTGCATATTCTAAGTCAACGAGATTATTCCCCGGTAGCAAGTCAATTCCTGAGTCGCTGAAGTCACCTAGGGTTAAGTCCATTAACACATCTATGATGAAGTTGAATAGAAAAGGGGATAATGGGCATCCTTGACGGACACCACTGGTCGTCATCAGTTCAGATGACAGCTCGCCGTAAGCCCTCACCTGGCTGTATGAGTACGAATAGAGTGCCTTAATCAGTGCAATATATTTTCTTGGAATTCCCTTTACAGCCAAGCATCTCCAGAGAACTTCCCGATCGACAGAGTCGAATGCTGCCTTTAGGTCAAGAAATATAATGACTGTTGGACGCCGGTAGGAATGACTATGTTCTAGAATCTGTCGGAGGGTGAAGATATGATCAATACACCCTCTTCCTGGTCTAAAGCCTGCCTGGCTCTCTCGTGTTTGTGCCTCCCGAGCACCACTTAGTCTACGCATGATTATTGAGCCTAAGACTTTAGATACTATATTAGTCAAGCTAATCCCTCTGTGATTATCACAGGAAGACTTGTCTCCCTTCTTGTATATCGGGATAATCAGTGACTTACACCAACCCAACGGGACTTCTTCTGATTCCCAGACGCTGCCTAGTACCTCAGTTAATCCGGACAGTAAACTGTCTCCACCGTACTTAAATACCTCTGGAGTGATTCCATCAGGTCCCGCTGCTTTGCCTAGTTTCAGATTGGTGACAGCTTTAGTAACCTCAGTTAGTGACGGAGGACCTGTGTTTATATCCCATTCAGGGAGGTGTTGGATGCTCGGAAGGTTGAGCGTGGCTGTGGGCCAATTAAACTGTTCCTCATAATGCCCTTTCCAGCGTTCCAGTCATCTATCCTGGGAGCTGATTAAGGTGCCATTTTTCTCCGAGGTTGTTTCACTTATCATTTGCCTTTTGCCACCTGTTTCTCTGATAAGCCTAAATAGTTGTCTGGTGTTAGCAATCGCCGATACCTTTCCCATCTCTTTCGCTTTTGTCGCCCACCACCGTTCACGTTTTGTTGGTTTCCGTTTGTGTACCTTTCGCTCCTCATCATAATCGGAGCTTGCAGCAATGGGGCTTCTTGCATCAAACAGTTCGGATGAGGCGGTAGAGATCCAATTGCTTTTACTTACTTTAGGTTTTAGCTTATTAACAGCTTTTACAGCTGTGTCTACAGCTAACTGTATGTTGTGCCAGCCAGGCTACCTCAGGAGAAGTTCTGCTTCCGACCTCAAAAACTCGTTTCGCTATTAGTTCCTTGAATGGGGACTCATTGTCTCGATCTAGTAGGGGACGTACCTGTTTCGCTGAAGTCAATTTCTTATATCCGTTTACTAGTAGGCATAAACGTGCGCGAACCAGAGCGTGATCAGAGTCTACGCACGTGTTCCAGAAGGAGCGACAGTCTTCTACTGACCCTCGCCAACGATACCCTATGGCTATGTGGGCTATCTGGGTCCAGCGTTGATTTGGTGATGGAGGTCGCCATGTAACACAGTCTCTCTTTGTGTCTAAAGTTAGTGCTGACTAGCAACAGGTGATTATCTGAGCAAAACTGTAGAAGACGATCGCCGTTGTCGGTTCGTCGGCAGGGAACTCCATACGTACCACCTATATACTTCTCAGTCAGGCACAACTTCCCTAATTCGGCATTGAAGTCGTCTGCTAAAACAACTATATCTGAACGTTTTGCTTTTTGCAGCAAATTAGACAGTTTCAGGTAGAAGTCATCTTTTATTGATATAAGAATAAAACTTGTGCACTGTGGTAGAATATAATTCCATTATGGGTAAATTTTTGTTTTGATAAAGTCTCACAGTGTTATACAGTAATGTTTACTGGTGACGTTTCGAGCACAATTTATTGCTCATAATCATATCAAGGTAATCACACGACTGTCATCTCTTAGTTCATCCGAACTGCAGTCTGTTGGGGCGTAAGAGCAGACTTCAAAAAGACAACAATTGGTAGCACCGTCTTCCCTTCTTTTAACGGACCCATTCAGACGGACCGCACACATATGACTATCTGCTGGGATCCAGTCAAGAAGTGATTTTTCCGCCCTAACACTCAGTGCTATCCCTACACCTGCGAGTCCTCGCGAGATAGCTGAGGAGTCTCCTGACACCCTTAAAGTGAATTTTGCGGATTCATCTTGTTGACTGGGTGAGGTCAAGTGAATGACCACACTCGGGTCTTGTATGTGTGTCTCTGAAACACAACATGCATCCATGGCTCTAGATTCCAGAGTTCTTGCTAGTGATGCCTGTTGTCCCATTTGGCAGAGGGTCCTGACGTTGGCGACGTGGCTTTAAAAGGCTATCTGGGGTGTTTCTATGGCTCTCACCTTTGTTTGTGGACACAGAGTGAAGTGAAGTTGATTCACTAGCCTGCAGAATAGTGCTAACCGTAGTAGAGAAGCAAGATGAAGAAGGTGATGTGAGTAAAGGAGAATGATGCTCAGGAAGGCTTCGTGTGATTTTGGAAGTGTGTGAGTGGTTGTTACTTCCCGGCTGCCTACACCGTGGAAGTTGATTGATTCTTCGAGAACCTGAAACAGAAAGTGTCGCGTGGCCGCAAAACCCAGGGGACAACTGTTTGAGGCCGGTCACATACGGCCTGTTTTTGTTTGTTTGTTTGTTTAGGTATCAGTAATACCAAGTCAAATGAATTTCCTGAGTTCACTTCATCGAACAGATAGTGGTAAAATTCTGAATTCTGAAGGAAGCTGTAATGAATTTCTCTCCACTTTAGTGGTGTTACTCCTGATATTTAACTGATTACATCTTCTTTTATTATACGTCAATGCTGATTTCTCTTCCACTGGTAACTAATTACACCACGTTTATTAAACCTAGTTTAAACTGTTCCAAGTTAACTCAGTATGGATCCCATATCAGATAAATTCATTTCGTATTATGACAGTACAGACTAGTCTAATAAACTTATCTAATATGGAATTTTGTCCTACCACCTTCTCCATATTCAACTTTTTCACTGCGGATTTTTGCACAGTTTACTTATTGGCTAACCGAAGTGATTTAAATAGTCCTATAACTTATGCTTCTTAATATCTTGTTATTACCCTAGGATTTCCTTGAGAAACTTTGATTGAAGCACTCCATTATAATTTACTACACTAACAGATATTCATACGAACTGCGGCTATCATTGCGGGATATTTCATGACAAACGGTATGTACGTGAACAGTCGTCAGCAGAATACGACACTATAATTATGTACTGCGATAAATTACTTGCTGGCTAGTGAAAATCGTGAAACATAATTCTAATTCAGTGATTGCAAGTACGACAGTTCTGAGCTAAATACCTGTAGATAGCCAGAGTACTTGCAGGTGAAAAATGCTAAGATACCAGATTATGGTTTTTAATGATTCGTCATGAAATCTTGTTCGAATTCAAGTCCTTGTTTTTCACTGTTTTTCCTGCTGACGACCATTTATTAAAAAAATGTTGTTTCGGTTTTTAGGTTTGAATAATGATGCCAAACAGTGAGACCCCTCCCAACACCCAATGCAACCCAGTAATTATTAGTTGAGTAAGAAATTCGGTGATAAGTTATATTTGGAAAAAAACAGTAGTTTTCTGATGACCAAACAATTTAGAAAATGTATAGATGGAATTAATGATATTTATTTGAATTTACTGTTTACTTTCATCTAAACCTGAAATGATCTATGTGAATGAATCCTGAGAATTAATCCCTCGTACTCAGTCATCTCGGAACGCAGGTGGAAGTTCTGGTTCGGTGCTTCGTGGTACTGAAACAACTACTGCAATTACAATGGTGGTGATGTAAATAAAGAAAAACAAACGATCTAATACTATGGCCAGAGTTCGCCATTCCATAGCCACCAAACTTTTACGGGCTGTCTCCTTCTGTCTGTTTACTAACATCTTAACGTATTTCTTCAATTCTCTAACGTCACGTTCCAGTGTAGTGGTTGAATTCAAAAATGACGGTGACTCTTCATGATTTGTTCCATCATTTGGTTCATTTGTTAATGGTTTCGGGCCAGCTTGTCCTAAATTTCCTGAAATTTGAGGAGTACCTTTGATTGGGGTAGCTGCTGCATAGGAATCATATGGGCCACCATAACGTGGACCAGGTTTATGTTCATTCGGACCAAACCAATTACCAGTCATATTTCCTAAATAATCTTCTCCATACATATGGTGGCTACCAGCCATGTTGCAAGGTGGGAACGAACCAGTCCCAAAATTTTTACTACGTTCATCTTGGCAAGGACTTTCCTCACCTGCTGGGTACTTGTTAGGGGACCTATTAAGAATATGAATCTTCTTAGGCGGTTTTGTGGCAATTGGTCTTATCGGCTTTTTCATCTCGGGCAGCGGAATTCTCTGTCTTACTAACGTCAGTCTTCCAATCCCTTCAATGACAATCTAAAAGGAAGAAAAAAGTCATTTAGAACAATATTTTTTAACTCAAAAACACGTAAGGTATATTATTGATGTACTTGAATATCAAACATATCAAAAGTATCGCTTCCCTTCTTAAACGTAGGATTTCGTCGGCAGGGATTTTTAACAATTACTATAGACATTCGATATCGGCATACTTCTTATTTCTCAGCCAATAATTTTGGTAGTTTTTCCGAAGCATGTAAATAATGAGTCACTCGAGCACAAACTGTGCATGTTTTCTCACCCTACTGTCACCTCTAAAGAAAGTTATTAGTATATCTGTGAATGCAAACATTCGGGAATATACGACGTCCTTGTTTATTTCATACGTTATTTGTTCTATCTGCACTATCAAGCAGATCGAAGTCTTCGTGAAACACACATCATAAAGCAATCCTTTGTTTACTAGTTTGACAATTTTCGCTCGTTTCTAATGATAGAATTCACAATGACTGTTTCTTCTAATCCAAGACTAGTCAGTTGTGTTTACTTTCAGTCCAATCGGTGACTATTCTCGCACTAAGGGTCTAACTAAAAATTATCATCTCCAACTTGAAAGTTGTACACACCAGGCTAATAAGTCTAACAAGGAATGCTGTTGTTGCAATTACGTTTTCAAATACAAACCATTGAGCCGATATATACATATATATAAACAATTGCGATTGCTATTTGAGTAATCTCGTAGCAGTTGCAGGACCTGCATTTCTTCCATGTTGATCAAAAAGGGTTACTTCAAGTGTTCAGTAACATGAAATAACAATTTATAAATTCGTTTAATTAAAATATGTTAATTTCTTGTTTTGCTGCATCCAGTAGTTACGTTTTAGGACTATGTGGAAGTTACAACAGAATCTTCCATATCAATTAGCCACCAAATAAATATTACAGGATTTTCATCATGAGTTGACATCAGTTAGAGAACCACTGGAAGACCAGGGAGTACTGGACACCTGTTTCATCCTAGTTTGGGACTCTTCATCAGTACGAACCCATCGGGGGTTCGAACCCAGGACCTTCTGGTTACAACGCGAGCTCGTAGACCATTGGATCGGGTCCCAGTGGCTCAATGGTCTACGAGCTCGCGTAGGAATGCAACCACTTACTTGTCCAGCTGTCAGCCTGTGTTGCAGCAAGCTTGATTAGCAAGAGAGACCTGGGAACAGAGTCGCTGAGAAGGGCACTAAAAGCCGTTAGTAGGGCAAGTGGGATATCGTTAAACCAACTGGTTAACACTATTGTAGATAGACATATTATATCATGTAGGAAACTAGCGAATACAATATTGTCTGACCCCAAGCATCCTCTCTATACGCAGCTGTCTCCTTGCATTTCATCTGGTAGAACTAGAAGCAGCTATAGGCGGTTATATGCTAGGACCACCAAATACAAAAACTCCACAATACCATATCTGGCACAGCTGTTATGTGATGAGAAATCCCTTAGGTATGACACGATCAACTTACTGCGGCACTCTAACAAATAGTCCCATTAGTTTTTGTTTTCCTTTCTTCGTTACTATTACACTGTTGTTCTCATCTTCTATCACACATCAACTTTATATTTCATATCCTGTGGTGCATTGTTTGAAATGTAAACTCTACGCTGTTTTTTTATTTTTATTTATTATTTATTTTTATTTATTTATTTACCTTTTGATTTCAAAAATCTTATATAATTTATGAGGTAATTAGATGCAATATACTGTAATGGACGCTGAAAATTCCATACCTGTACCACAAATACCGTTTGGAATAAAGTTGTTACTATTATTATTACTCGCCAAAGACATTGGCTAGTGGTTGCGCTATGTCATGAATTAGCCGAAGTTAGAATTCATGGGCCATTGGATCGGGTCTCAGTGGCTTAATGGTCTACGAGCTAGCTCGCCTTGTAACCAGAAGGTCCTGGGCTCGAACCCCGGTGGGTGCATACTGCTGAAGAGTCCCAAACTAGCACGAAACAGCTGTCCAGTACTCTCAGGTTTTCCAATGGTTCTCTAACCATTGTCAGCTCATGATGAAATCCTGTAACGAACCAACGAAAAATACCTAATGAAAAAACATATCCGACTGATGTAGCCTAGTAACTTTTAACTAGAACTGGTTTATTCCACGTGAAACTAAAATTGATTTAAAAATCATTTTTATAGAGATGGCCACTTACACGACGAAGGAAAAGCGGTACGGAACCTTTACGATCACCACGGAAATGAAGGTGAATTACCAGAGTTGTTAGAAATGTTGACAATGTGATCATAATCATATTTAAACAATAGAATACCCCTGAAAGGTGAAATAAAAAAGAGGTGGGTGCATATTTCTGCAGTTGTAAGTAATCCAGAATAATGAAAAAAATTGCAATTTAAACTTTAGTCTCAAAAATCATTCATTAGAAACATATTAAACTGGAGCTCACTGGAGACTGAAATCCTCAGAAATGAAGCTACGAGCTGAAGACCGCTGAGCTCCTATAGAATTCATAGGATTAATAAGCAGTTTACTTTCTCCATCATGATAGAATTCATGAACGAACACTTGATCAATCAAAATCTGACAGTCAGTATGTCTTAAAAAACCTCCAATCGATGATATATAAGATAAGATAAGCTTTTTTAATCCCACATTTCTATACAGTTTGGTTTTTTACCAAAAGCTGACGTATTCTGAGTAAGCTATCTAAGCCTGTACTGTGTATCTCTTATAAAATTTTCATACTGAGTATCATAGTTGTCTGGAGACTGTTGAATTATTATTTTTATAATTATCCAAGTTGTCATGACGTTTAGTTTTTTTGGGTCTATTAACAGTCCCTACAAAGGTGCTAGGAATCTATGAATACAAACATCTACACAATCAGTCAACAACCTCGCCAGATACTAGCTTGCTAGGCTACTAGCTTTCTAGTTTTCTCGCCGGTCCCAAGCCCGGGTAAAGAGGGAGGGTTGGGGCGTGGTGCTAGCAACTCCACCCCTGTAAAACAACCAAATCGCTACAGAAACTTCAACGAATAAATATATTAAAAATTCTAAAAACATAAGCAATAGCCTTACTTTTCGCTGGAATCGGGGAAGTGAAATGACGCAGGCTGGTGAAAGCCTTCGGGAAGCCAGTCAGCCGATGTGCCTTCTTTCGATGAAAGCAAAAGTAAGGATGGGTACCTGGAATGTTCGTACAATGTACGAAACTGGAAAGGCTGCCCAGATAGCCGCTGAAATGAGAAGGTACAGAATAGAAGTGTTGGGAATCTGCGAAAGCAGATGGAACGGAACTGGAAGGTGCCAACTACCTACTGGAGAGACAGTAATCTTTCCGGCCACCCAGAGGACAACCATGAGCACACCGAGGGAGTGGCCATCATGATGTCACCAACAGCAACCAAAGCTCTCATGCAGTGGGAACCAATCTCCTCCAGGATAATGACAGCCAGGTTCAACTCAAAAGGAAGGAAAGTTACAGTCATTCAATGCTATGCGCCTACAAACGTCTCAGAACAAGAGAAGAAGGAGGCGTTCTACAGACAACTACAAGCAATAATGGACAACGTCCCAAATGGCGATATCAAAATCCTGATGGGCGACATGAATGCGAAGCTGGGAGGAGACAACACAGGAAGAGAACTCACCATGGGTCGTGAGGCCCTCGGCGAAATGAACGACAATGGTGAACTCTTCTCAGACTTCTGCGCCTTCAATGATTTGGTGATTGGTGGTAGTGTGTTCAAACACAAGGATATACACAAGACGACATGGATTTCACCAGATGGAAACACCAAGAACCAAATAGACTTCATCTCAATTTCAAGAAAGTGGAGACGGAGCCTACTGGACACAAGGTCAAGGAGAGGAGCAGATGTGGGTTCAGACCACTATCTAGTACAAGGGACTTTCAAGGTGAAACTAAAAGCCTCGAGGATAGCTGGGGATAGGCCACAATGCAAGTTCAACACTCAAACTGAAGGACACAACCACAAAAGACACTTTCACTGCAACTGTCAGAGCAAAGCAGGAAACACTACGCGACATCACTGAAGAATCATGCGTGGAAGAACATTGGAAGTCTCTGAAGGCGATTCTCAACGAAACGTGTTCAACGGTTCTAGGAAGAAAGAAGAGACAAGACAAGGAATGGCTCTCAACGGACACTTGGAAATTAATAGAAGAGAGGAGAATGGTGAAAGAGAAAATGATTCAATGCAAGGACGGACAGGAGAAGGAGACGCTGAGCTCAACTTACACATCACTGGACAAAGAAGTGAAGAAGAGTGCTAGGAAGGACAAAAGACGATTCTACGACAACCTGGCCACTGAAGCTGAGAAGGCAGCAGGCAAAAGGGACCTGAGGACACTATATCAGATAACCAAATCTCTATCCGGGAAGAGACCAACACAAGCGAAACCTATAAAAGACAGCCAAGGGAACCCAATTACCAAGGAAGAAAAACAGATTAAACAATGGGCGGATCACTTCAAAGGACTCTTGAACCGACCATCACCTGCAACCCGTCCAGAAATACCAACAACAGCGCGCACACAACTGCAAGTTGACACCAATCCTCCAACGAGAGCTGAAGTCTTGAACACAATCAAGCTTCTGAAAGCTGGAAAAGCAGCCGGACCAGATGGAATACCCCCTGAAGCACTGAAAGGGACCCAGAGACTACAGCAGACATGCTGACTCCATTATTGCAAAAGGTCTGGAAGGAGGGAAAGGTGCCTACTGACTGGAGGAAAGGTTACCTCGTGAAACTACCAAAGAAGGGCGACTTACACCTTACTCTGCAAGAACTGGCGAGGAATCATGCTCCTATCGACGCCAAGTAAAATCCTGAGTCGCATCATCCTGGAGAGATTAAAGGACGCACTGGAGACAGAACTCCGACCAGAACAAGCTGGATTCAGGAAAGGCAAATCATGTACTGACCAAATTGCAACTCTACGCATCATCATCACAGAACAAAGCATGGAATGGCAATCAAACCTCTACCTCAACTTTATAGACTTTGAGAAGGCCTTCGACAGCGTTGACGTGAAGTAATTTGGAAATTACTCGAGTACTATGGCGTACCCCAAATATTCATCAACCTTATTCAACAGCTGTACGACAACGGCGCATGTCAAGTGATCCACAACGGAAAACTCAGCGAGGCGTTTGGAGTAAACACAGGAGTCAGACAAGGGTGCTTATTATCACCAATGATATTCCTAATTGTGGTGGACTGACTGGATTATGCGTCAGACAGTGGGAAACGAGAAGACAGGGATATCCTGGACCGACGTGAAGAACCTAGAAGACCTGGATTTCGCGCGTGGATGATTTATGTTTGATGTCACACAAAATCGAAGACTTACAAGCGAAAACCGACAAACTGGTCGAAGAAGCAGCCGGCGAAGACAGGACTCCAGGTGAACATAGACAAGACGGAGGTTATGAAAATAAACAACCAACCACAACAACAACACCAGCAACATCCAGCGTCAATCACCATCAAACGGAGGGATTTGAAAGAGGTTACTTCATTCACTTATCTAGGGAGCATTGTCTCAACTACAGGAGTCGGAACGGACGGGGATGTCAAATCGAGAATCGGGAAGGCGAGAAACACATTCATCAACCTGAAATCAATCTGGAAATCTTCGTCACTCAGCATCAACAAAAAAATTCGGATTTTCAATACAAACGTCAAGTCAGTCAGTTCTTCTATACGGATCAGAAACTTGGCGGGTCACAAAGAATATTTCCAAAAGGCTGCAGACCTTTATTAACAACTGTCTTCGCTCTATACTGAAGATCAGATGGCCGGAAAGAATCACCAACAAGGAATTATGGGAACAAACAAAGCAAGAACCAATCGCCCAACAAATATGCAGGAGAAAGTGGAGATGGATCGGACACTCGCTGAGGAGACCGCTGGGTGACATCGCGCGTCAAGCCCTCGAGTGGAACCCGAAAGGGAAGCGGCGTGTGGGACGTTCAAGGGTGACATGGAGGAGATCGTGTGAAGAGGAGTTGAAAGAATATGGACTTACATGGATGCAGGCGAAAAGTATAGCAGAAGACAGAAGAAAATGGAGACGTGCAGTTGAAGCCTTATGTTCCAGTAGGAACCCAAGGGAGCAATAATAATAATAATACAATCAGTCAACAGATAGGGATGAACAAAGCAAGAACTACAGTTTTAGCAGAATAAAATGGTACCATCTTCTATTTCGTTGCCTTCTCGTCAGCTGCTTACATGGCAAAGACATTATTAAATATATCTACAACAACAATTTTAACATACTTGCACAGAGTTAAGTTTAAACAAAAATCAATCGATCAATATACTCATACACTAAAAATATATACATATATAAATATGCAATATTAACCACTATTCCGAACAAGAATAATCAAACACAACGGAAACTTTTAGCATTTCACATTCGGATGAAAGAGAGGTGAAATTATCCAGTTACCAGGGTAAAGAAAGACTGATAACCGCTTCTTTCTGGACGCATAAATCAGGTTTCAGGCGCTTGATGGAAATGGCTTCAGCAAATTTAAGGCTGAGTACATCACCAGCCATAGCGTATCCTGCAGCTAAGCCCGTTCCCGTCTATCGAACAACTTGCTCTTTGGTGGAATCAAAAATCGATAGATATCCTTCTCATGTTACCTCCAACTGTGTATACAAATTTACATGTATCTGCGGGAGCAGTTACATTGGAAGGACAGAAAGAAGGGCATATCTACGATTTTCTGAACATGTACCAAAAAGCTTACGTCTAAAGGGAACAAATGCTTTAAACAGTGCCATCACCAGGCATCTTCTCGACACGGGTCATGAGGTGGACGTTGAAAAGTCGTTCAAAATTATCAATAAGCAAAATGGCTCAATTCTCCTCAAGTTTGCTGAAGCCATTTCCATCAAGCGCCTGAAACCTGATTTATGCGTCCAGAAAGAAGCGGTTATCAGTCTTTCTTTACCCTGGTAACTGGATAATTTCACCTCTCTTTCATCCGAATGTGAAATGCTAAAAGTTTCCGTTGTGTTTGATTATTCTTGTTCGGAATAGTGGTTAATATTGCATATTTATATATGTATATATTTTTAGTGTATGAGTATATTGATCGATTGATTTTTGTTTAAACTTAACTCTGTGCAAGTATGTTAAAATTGTTGTTGTAGATATATTTAATAATGTCTTTGCCATGTAAGCAGCTGACGAGAAGGCAACGAAATAGAAGATGGTACCATTTTATTCTGCTAAAACTGTAGTTCTTGCTTTGTTCAAATTCATTAAGGGGAATAAATGTATGAGATAGGGATGAATTTGTGAAATGCTATATAGGATTCGCCTCAAACAATTTCATCTGTAAATTTGTCATATTTTTACAGATTGACTACGTGACGAGATGAAAATTCCTTCCGCCTCATGCACATATATAAATGTAACCGGAAGATTCTCGAATAATCTTTACTAGGCATTACTTACGGCTAAACTATACAGTTTCATCAGATGTCTGTCAGTAACATTGCGTTATATGAGTTAATTAGTTGACTAAAGCGTTGTGTTGTGTTGGAGTATTCATCGAAATTAAGTGTAGACGGTTACTAAGGGGACTTTTCGCTGTTGAAGTAGTTAAGTAACGTTGTTTTAAAGGTAGTTTATAGTGTTGTTGGGGCACAGTGGTTAGGACTCTCGCCGACCATGCACATGGTCCGAGGTTCGATCCCCTGCCGACGCACACCTGATATCTATGGTCGGCCTGGAAAATTTGGGCTACCGATATCCATGCTGAAAATTCCATACTTGTACCAAAAATACGGTGTGGAATCAAGCTGTAATCAAAAATCAAATATAAGCAGCCTTGTAAGTGAAAATCTGTGACTCAGCCTCAACCACAAATGTATCTCATCCTAGAGAAAAATTTCCTTATTCTTTAGGACAGGAAAATCCACCGGATACTGAATACAGTTCTCATCATTAAACCAAACAATCGCTAGTTTCCATGAATGTATTATGAAATGTTTATATTCTTTACTGTATCTGCAGCTGAAATACAGTAGCCTTGCAGCAGTCAAAGGAAATCCCATAATACCACTTCACAAATATAACGACGGGGAATATTAGCTAAGATTGACTAAACAGTTACAGAAAAATTTTGAAGGTGTAAAACCTTTGGTAGTACATACCTATATGAAATTAAACGAGAAGAAATGAAAAACAAGTTTAATTTCCTGAGAATGTAACAATACAAACACTACTTTGTATCAATAATTAGCATATATTTAAACAGTGGAAAGGAAATATGTATACTTTGTAAACAGAGGTAGACAGTTTATTTACCTATTAGTGGAAAATTTTTCACTGCACTTGGTGTCGATTCAGCGAGCAGCAGTAGTAGGACGAAGAATGCCACGAATATATTGACACCTATCGAATGTAATGATATACAAAAGATATACCGAAAGTGAGAGTAAATATTCTTAATATGTACCTCACCCTTATATACGTTGGTACTCACCATCCATTTGTAATGAAGCCCAAATCCATAGACAATAAAGAAGACTTAGTTATCCCGTTTTTATTTTGGACAGTGTACCTATACACGAGTGTGAAACTGCACGAGATACACTTTACTGAGTCATTGTGTCTGTAACAAAACTGATGTTTCAATAGAAGTTAGATTTCTTTCGCATTTTTATGCCATTTCTAGTGGGCTTTACTCAACTATTCATCGCAGTAACTTAATAAATCTTTTCTGATGTTTACAAACATATGTGTATGATTGATTCTTATACTTGCGGATGGTGATATTTATGGTTAGGCTATATGGACATTTAAAAGGATCATCTTTTCATGTGTTAAATTGAAATATTCGCAATAATTTGGTGGTATACTGGGCATGAGTTAAGTATATTAAAGCTGATGTGGTAGACAGTTCACTTTGAAGGAATGGCGTAGTGTATTCAGTTTTCGATGGCTTAACACAATCCATAAAAAACACTGACATTTGTGTTTTGGAAAGGTAAGGACTTTGCTTCAGGTATAAAATACCCACTTAGCTGTTAGACAGCTGTTTTTTACCTTTCTTCTTTGATTAGAATTCACTTGCCTGACTGTCAACATTGAAGTGAGTGCTTCTAGTCACTGTACAGTGTGGACATGAGATTATTATTTTTATTTTATTCTTTTGCGTTCCCAGTGGAATACAGGACTTCATTATACAGCTTTGAAGTTTCCATAGCAGTGGTGCCTTTTAGGGGACAAGGTTACCAGCCTCATGCCCGACCTTCCCTCTTTATGGGGCTTTCAACCAACTAATCAAGGTAAAGGAGTGCGTCGGCCACGGCTTGGACCCCGGCCCATTTGCATTGCGCGGCGGCTAGGACTCTTGCCGACCATCCACATGGTCCGGGGTTCGAGCTCTTGCCGACACACACCTGATATCTATGGTCACCCTGCAAAATTTGGGCTACAAATATCACATGCTGAAAATTCCATACTTGTACCAAAAATACGGTGTGGAATCAAGCTATAATCAAAAAATTATAATTCAATTGAATCACTGACGCGTGAACACGAGAAAACAACCTTAAAATGATAGCATATAGACAATAGCAAAGGTTACTACTTAATTAAGTAGAATAGTTTTCAAGGGGAGGTTGAAATGTTAAAGGAAGCAGCGATGAGGGCAAGATTTTGAATTCTCATTAGTTTGATGGGTCTTTTTTTCTATAATTTTAACCCACACTGATAATATTTGTCATTCATTTATTTATGATGAATGTCAGAACAATTGATAATTTGATTTGGGCTTCGAAAGCGATAATTGAAAGTAGACGACCTAATTATTAATTATGCAAAATTTGTTTATGTAATTGCAATAATTAAAGGAAGGTGGTTTGCCACTTTCAATAATACTTGACCGATTAAGTGACCTGTTCACTACATAAACATGTATGAGAGAATTTGACAAAAACTTTTGAATTCACAAATGCGACTTAATGATAATTAGTATTTGTTGTACTTTTTGATCTGTTTGAAGAAATAAGAGGAAAGCTGGCAACTTCTCCTTTCTCTTCTCAAAAAGGTGCATAGACCCAGGATTTCTTGAATAATTATGAGCCCTTTTAAATAAATTTCTGAGATAACCTGTTTCATGATATGGTTTTTAAAGAACTCAAGACCAGCACAACTATTTCTTATCTCACTGCACACGCTGTTGATACTAGTGAAATATGTATTCACGAGGATGACAACGGATAACGTTCCCTAGTCTGTTTTGTACTATCATGTCCTTTTGTTAACCTGATATGTTGATGTTTTAGGTTCAATGAAATTCCTCCTGCATGTCAAGTTAAAAAATGTTTTCTGGCTTTAATTTATAATAATGACAGTTTGTGCAGTAGTATTTTGTGAATTGTGGATGTTTTCGACATATTTCCGTTATTATTGCCATCCTAATCATATTTCTTGGGAAGATTATCTATTAACCATCTAGTCATATTGACGTTTAGTCAGTGGTTCATTTCAAAAGATAAGCTGTGCAGATGTTGGTAAACCTTTACTAATCCTCTGAGTTCTGATTAGCCATAAGTTGAAAACATCTGGTGGGAATAAAGGTTTGGAATTTTCGTGATGACACTACAGAATTTTCAGCAGAAAATTATCACACAGTCTATCAAGAAAACTTTTTCCATTTGAGGCACAATATAGTATGCATAGAAAATGTGTGTACCTACCAAGCATCATCTTCGCTGGAGATTCTGGAGGTAACCAAAATACAACCGACATTAAAGAGGATAACAAAATACATGGGATCACCAAAATAATTACATAAAAACTTGGATGCCGTCTTAAACGTATTAAATATCGTAGGACTGGATACTCCAGTGTCACTACTTCGTTACCAATAACTTGACTAAGACGTCGATATTTTTTAACTGACCGAATTTGTATAGTTCGGTTAATATGGTGCTGTGTTTGTTCTTCTTCACCATCTGTACGCCATTCGTTACTCCGTGCATACTCAGAAAAGTCCAGATATGGCATTTCCACCAAAGGTGGAGCGTCTGGAATCCACCAAAGAAGATCCATTTGTGTCCTGTCGTATGTCAATGATCCAAATTCCAACATACATATCTATATTCACAAAAATGAAAACAATAGAACACTTAGGGTATCTCTTATCCTGAGAAACAATAAATTCTGAACAGCTACTAATCACAATATCACTATTTTGTATCATTAAATGACAGACTGCAACCTAATCCCATCACGTATAGTTGTCAATAGTGATTAGAACAAGGCTGTCAAATATTACAATTTCTTTCGTGAGTGGGAGCAAAACCACGTGCTACTGAATCACTGAAAAGAAAGCCTATCTGCAGTTCATGAATTAAATACCTAGCTTAAAATTCAGCCAGTACGCTTTACTAAAACAACTAGACCTCTAAGTTTCACCAGAGAGCTAATTCAGTGTCAGATACATGGTAAAATATGCATTGATTGGTTGAAACAGTAGACAGGTATTCTTATTTGGGGGAAGGGTTAGAACAAGATCTAGGGCAAATATACACTTTGAATTTTATACTGTATCTCAAGAACACAAAACTGAAATGTTCAGAAGTCAAACATGATACTGCAGAGCCGTAAAACCCAGGATCACAGAACAGATTCAGAATATTAAAAATTAATAATAATAATAGTCAGTTACAATTTGTCAAAGACGCTTACCCCAATTCCTTACCAATTAACTGGCTGATAAGTTTTAACATTTTCTTTATTTTCCATGGAGTTCGATTTTTTTCGAAGGATAGGCATCTAAGATACATTTATTTCCGGATACAAATTTCAAGCGAATATGAAGTGTTAATAAAGAACTCGATGAATACTTAGGAATTTCAGTAGAACTCTTTGACTGACTATTTTGCATACACTTTTAGACGTGTCACGTGACATAAACAGGGAGATATGTGACTTATAAACTACAGTGAACTAATCATGCAATACTAAGTCTTGTGCAGTTAGGCTGTATAAACTCACACTGTGTCTACAAAAGTGAATGGCGACCGCTTCGAATCTGTCTTAGTGATATATCTGACTTGTTATTGTTATCATTGCCATTTTATTATCCTTTATTCTTATCCGTCTAACAGCTAATACTATCTTTTGTCAGTTCACTACCTCAACACGTCTCGTCGTTATTGTTATTATTTTTACTATTCATTTTGGAATTTTTGACATTCTCAGTTTCATTATTTCATGCCCCTTCCCCTCTTATCGATCTGGACTTGGTGTGTAAGATGTTTTCAGTCTAGTTTTGCATGACTGTTTCACTGTAGTTTATATATATATATATATATATATATATATATATATATATATATATATATATATATAGATAATGCCGCTTTGAATTTTGGCTACTTCCTATTAGTCTGCATTCATATACTGATGATAATTTTTGTCATTAGCACACGGCACATTAGGAAATGAGGGGAAGTGAGCCTTTCCTGAGCTACTTATTTTATCATAATTGACAATCACTTGATTTCCCAGGTATTCGTAACCCTAACATTAGAGCTTTGTATTTTTTCTTATTAAAAGCCCAGTCAAATGAAAAAAATGGCGTTTTTTAAGAAGCCTAAGCATAACACATAATATAAAACGGGTATTTTAAAATTTTTGCAAAAAGTCTGGAAAAATCAGTAGATATTTTTTTTGATTGCAGCTTGATGCCACACCGTATTTTTGGTACATGTATGGAATTTTCAGCATGGATATCGGTAGCCCAAATTTCGCAGGCCGACCATAGATATCAGGTGTGCGTCGGCAGGGGATCGAACCTCGGACCATGTGGATGGTCGGCGAGAGTCCTAACCACTGTGCTACCGACGCACATGATTCATATAAATACATCAAATGTGGACATGACAGAATAACTTACTTGAGAATCAAATGGAAAGTAAGTAATTTCTACTTCACATGTGCTCTTCAATAATGCCTGTGGAACCCATAAAATTTCTCCATTACTTGACACCACAGCACGAGCGTCACGATGTTCACGTATGCGTTCATCGGCACTAAAATCATGACAGAATTACCATTCAGAAATTCTAATAAACTGTTTTTTCTTTCATACATACCTTCTAATACTTGGTTAGAAAAAAGATTCGTAAAATTCTTTGGATGTTTATGAGGTAAATTTACCCAAAAATTACTGTAATTTGAAATCGAATAACGATTTCAATGAAGAAGCAAGATATGAGAAGAAAGTGAGTTTACAATTAATATTTGGGTAAGTACTTAGGGAAAAATACATGGAACTACCTACTAGTAAGTAAGTTACAAGTGGGAAATACTAAAGACTGATTCCACGTTGAAGACTTTCTGATTCTATCCTCTGTACTCGTTTCAGTGACAGACAGAAATATAACTGACTAAAAAGCATTGATATTCACGTTGTTAAGACGAGAATACAGCTAACAAGCCTAATTTACTTACCGTGTCAGTAAAAAGCAAGTCTAATTTCAATCACAGTAATGCCTCTGAAAATGAAAATTTATGTTCAGGTATAACGTGTTGCTCTCTTGAATATACAATACCCATGAAACCTTCAGCTAACAAACTCATCAGTTTTCCTTACAAGTCCCTGAGAGCACCAACTGACCCTAGCTGAAATAAAAGAGAGACTGAGATAATGAAATGGTATTAAGACTCCAGTCTAAATTGTATATAATGATTACACGGAATATACATTTTGAAGGATTTACCCCAGTTGCGACGAAAAAGCTGTTTCAGAATTGTGTGTATCGACTCTGTTTTCATGGTTTTAATTGCCACCTAATCTTTGGTTTTTGATGGAGAAATCTGCTTATATCAATTTATGAGTCATGTTAAGTACAGATTTACATTGAAAAACAAATAGTCTGTTCTTCCTTATTATCCGTCCACATGATAATCGATATACGAAATAGTAAGGTCTATTGCTGATTTATCAATAATTTCCGTCTACAACCGCCACATCAGTACATTTATAGCGTCATAGTTCTTTTTCCATCGATCTGACTATTATCCTATCAAATGAATGGATTATTCTCATCGGTCTGGTGGCAGAAACTGCATTTTACTTACAGCTGATATCCTTTTGCCTTTAGAACCCTACATGATGTCACCTGACTCGTTTTAAAGCTTCTGTTTAAGTTCAATAGGCTTTGTTTGTCTACGTTAATTTGGTGAATCCTGTACGAACTTATCTTCAATCAGTAGCTTCAAACTACTATACGACAGTAGTTGTAATAATTAATTCCATTCAGAAGAAATCTTCTTGATTCAGTTGAATATTTATTACTGTTTGAAGTTTTGCCCTAACACATTATTCTTGTGGCATGCTTGATAACTGATTATTTCTTTTGGTGACTGTCATGATCTCCTTGAAGTAACAAGTTGTGTGGCGTTTGCCTACAAATCACATATTGTGTGAAATGTACTGTTGTATTTGGAATAGTCTTTTAGTGTTTAAACGGTATATTTTGACAGAAATTCATCTCGCAGACAACTCTGTGCTTACTATGAAATGAGGTCTTAAGTTATAAAATATTTTTGTCACATTACATTCTACACATGTGAATCTGGAATATAGAGTGTAACAGCTACAATGTCTATTTTAGAAGCTTACTGAAATAACCAAATGACTCATATTTGTTAAAGTTAAGGACAGGGTGATTATCTTCTAGAACTTATTTATTCCTAACATAGATGATCAATGACAAATGATACTTTCCTTCCCAAGCTTCACTAAAACAAACAAGCAAAATGTCTCACTATTCAATACACAGAGCTGACTATGCAGGTCACTTGGGTGTTTAAAGCATTTGAAAGGCGTCTGTAATCGAAAAAGTAGTGTCTTTTATGCACTGCTTAAACACTGCTTTCTGTTTAGTCTACTTCCTCCTGCATCTTGACATTTTATAAAATAGATAATCTACTGTTTTTTTCATTCTGTAAGTTAAAAATTAATAATATTTCATTGTCTTTATTCCAAATATTAACAAGTGCACATTTTCCCTATTCTGATATGAATGGTAGTAATTTCAGTGTTTGGATTTCTCCACAGATTAAACTACACTGGTGTATTTGTTAGCTTTATCAATTAGGAAAAGCGTGTATATGTCATGTACCACCAGATTGATGAAGTTATCATGGACAGTCCATTAGATGCCATTCTATTGGATATTTTTACTGAGCACTTTTACTAAACAAGCTTGAAACACGCAATAAATGATACTAAACATGCCTCCGATTAACGCCACCTATTTAACTAGGCACTTTTGGTTGTAGATTTCTCTATTGAATATCAGTAAAATGGAAAACTCCATTTTCTGTACCTCGCAGTTTTACGAACTTCACACGGAAGTGTTTGAAGATTTATTCACCATAAAGAATTTTGGAATGAACTATGTCTGAATTTCGAAAAAGGAACTATCTTTAATTACGAGTATTGTTAATTCTTTTCTTATCTATCCTTTGCAACTGTTCCCTTTGTGTTGAGATTTATGCTACTGATAACTGATATTTTTTTAATGTGCTTTTTCTCGTAACCGTAAGAACTGTTTGCTATTGAATTTTATCTTAATTTTTCACTAATCTATGTAATCTGTTTTTATTATCAACTTATAGTAAAATTTCATCTGCTTGACATGCCTCATATATATTCTACTCTAATTTTCAACTCATGATAGTTCCTTTAATTGCACACTGTTTAATATGGCCAAGGAACATCCATTGACACAACTTTGCTATTTTTCCTTATCGACAGTGACATTACATTTGATGGTATTCAGCCTTAGACAGTTTAAAATTTAAGGTCCGTATGTGATTTTCATTATTTAATACATTACATAGCTCGGTACTTGGACAAATCCTATGGTTTTGATTAATTTGATTAATTAACAGACCACAATATCGCTCCGGATTTCTTAGAAGAAATCTAGAAATATTCTCAGGTATTTGACAAAACTCGAATGCACTGACTCCAAGGGAGACTTTTTTGAATCCTCAATGTAGTAATAATTTATTTCAATCAAATATATTTAGTGTTATGCATGGATGGAGGCAGCCAGGAAAAAAATCTCAGAGAAGATGTAACTATTTTTCCAAGTAGTGGTCTAATATATATATATTCTTTAATTCCTAGAGGAACATAGGGCTTCAGCTGCGTGTCTCCATTGCCTTCCGTTTTCTGCCAACTCTTTCACTCCGCTCCATGTCTGCCCACATGCTTTCATCTCCTCTTCACATCAACTCCTCCATGTCACCCTTGCACTGACGACCAACTCGCCACTTCCCTTTCGGGTTCCACTCGAGCGATGGCTTATCTAGTGATGTCACTTGATGGTTTCCTCAGCGTATGGTCAATCCATCTCCATTTCTTATTGCATATTCGTTGCACAATTCGTTTTTCATTGGTTTGCTCATTGCCAGAGATCCCTGTTGCTGATCTTTTCTGGCCGGCCATCTGATCTTGAGTATTGAGCGAAGACAACTGTTAATGAAGGTCTGTAGTTTGTTTGAGATGCTCTTTATGACGCGCTGGCCAAGTCTTTGATCCGTATGGTAGCACTGACTGACTTCATATTGGAGTTGAAAATCCGGATCTTATATTTCATTCTGAGTACTGTTCATCTTCACACAGACTTAAGAGTAATGAAAGCTTGTCATGCTTTTCCGATTCTTGCTTTGATATCCTCGTCAGTTCCGTCCGCCTGTAGTTGAAACGATGCTTCCCATGTCGGTAGGTAAAGGAGGTTGCTTCTTTCAGGTTCCTCCCATTTATGCTGACTGTCGTCTATTGTTGTTGTTGCTGTTGGCCAGGAATCTTCAGCATCTCTGTTTTCTCTATGTTCACCGGAATTCCCTACTATCTTTAATGCTTCTTCAGCCAACTTGTTGCTTTTCACTTGCATATCTTCCAGTTTGTGGGAAATCAGACATATACATGTCATCGGGGAAGTCAAGATCCTCCAAGTTTTTTGTGTGAGTCCATTTTATGCCTGTTCCCTCGTTGGTTGCCGTTGTCTATCGCATTATCCAATCTAATGCAATCAGGAAAATCATTGGGGATAGTAGATAGCCTTGCCTCACTCCCGCCCTCACTTCGAAGGATTCTGTAAGTTTCCCGTTGTGGATTACTTGGCATGCAGCATTGTCATATATTTGTTGGACGAGATGTATAATTGTTGATGGCACCCATTAGTAGCGAAGTGGTTCCCAAATGACCTCTCGATCGACGCTGAGCCATCGAAGGCCTTTCCGAAGTCGACGAAGTTGAGATAGAGAGGTGACTGCCATTCCAAGCTTTGTTCAATGATGATCCGTAGAGTGGCGATTTGATCAATACATGACTTGTTCCTCATGAATTCAGCCTGTTCCGGTCGAAGATTTTCATCCAAGTTGGCGTGTTTGATTCTCTCCAGGATGATGTGACTTAGTATTTTGCTTGGGATGGACAGGAGCATAATTTCGCGCCAGTTTTTGCATTGACTTAAGTCTCCTTTCCTTGGTAGTTTGAATAAGTATCCTTTCTTCCAATCCTCAGGTACTTTGCCCTCTTTCCACACCTTCTCCAGCAATGGCGTCATCAAGTCCGCTATTGTCTCTGGGTCCATTTTCAATGCTTCTGCTCCATCGTATATATATATGTATATATACGATGGAGATGTGTACCAATGTAACAACAGAAGACAAGGGCCAGGCAACAGATCGTTTTATTATGAAAATCAACACGTATTTATACATATTTCACATACATTATTATAGCTTATGCAAGTAGACAAGCGCAGTTATCTGATTGGTTGTTTATCAGAAGTTAGGCAGACAAACGCAGGCTTCTGATTGGTTGTTTCGGGATTCCTCGACAAATAGAGTTCTCTATCTGCGAATCATATTTTGCCACGTTAACTTTGCTGTGATTGGTTGTTGAATCAGCCTTGCTCATATTTTCTCACGGCCTGCTCTCACCACACCAATATCTCAAATGGCATGCACTAAGGGTTATACAATTTTTATTGGGCTATACATTCTAGGGTATGTTATATACTACACTAGTTGATATGCCAATCTCAGCGACTAGTAGTTGATATTCAAATGGTAAAGCAGAAAAGTCTTATCTTCATGATTAGTGAATAAGGAGATTATTCCTTCTGGAAATTAATAAGATGGTTCAATCTAATTTGAAGCTGCCTTCATAATACAGGTAATGAACTATGAAATAACTAATATGGAAGATTTTTAGTGACTGTCCTTCCTCTTATTGCCAATCATAGGTGGTTAAGTGTATTTGCTTCTAATGATTTCATGGATTAAGCGTTCAACACACTTCATGATAAATCTCTTCATTTTTCATCTTATAATGATTATTTAACCATTTTATAACCATTTTACCATTTTACTTACATTTATGTGTTCATCAGTTATCTTGCTTGTCGTTTATACTCTACTGTAAAGTATATCTAAGCCATAGTGTAGCGTTAGCTATGAAGTGAATTGTCTTTTTTGTACAGAATATTCCGAAGTGATGATGATGGTGGTGATAATGAGAAAATATGGTTAAAGCATGTCAATTCTGTTCGAATGACCCAACAAAATATTTAGTGAACCACAAAGAGAAACTTTAAAACTAAAACTATATGAATAGTTCGTGCCATACTCAAAACTACAGTTTGCAGTGCTTAAAAAGTCAAATTTAGTTTATTTCCACTGCGGAGGATGGAACCCCGGATCATGTGCACGGTCGGCGGGGAGCCTAACTGCCGTGCCACCGACACACGGACTACGACAGACAATAACAATCAGTCCTCTTTTGTGTGTGTACTAAAGTTTGACAGTCAGTGGAAATACTAAAGCACGATAATATTGGTGTATGGGATTATGAGTTACCATTGTTTAGATATATGAATGAATAGATAGACGTCATAACTAACCCTTACAAACCAAACTATAGAAAGTTAATATGATGCTCGCTAGTGACTTACTACAGGTTGGAGTTTCCTGAGTTCTAGTGAGATGTCGTGACCAGTGAGGTCCAATTAGATGTCACGTGTGTGGGTGGATGTCCACCGACGACAATGGTTGGGGTCGCGCTAAATCACGAATGGGTAGAAGCTAGAATTCATGGGACATTGAATCGGGTCCCAGTAGCTGAATGGTATACGAGCTTGCCTTGTAACCGGAAGATTATGGGTTCGAATCCGAGTGGGTGCGTACTTCCAATGATTCCCAAACTAGGATGAAAAAGCAGCTGTCCAGTACTCCCTGGTTTTCAATGGTTCTCTAACCGATATCAATCCTTGATCAACTCGTAAAATCCAGATTTATGTATATTCGGTAGGCTATAGAGTCGAGCAGTGATTGATCCAAAAGGTCTTAGCCTTTCATATAGCTCGGTTGTCAATGATGAGTCATTCTTCATACATTTCAAAACCTGTGTGATATGTTTCTCTATCATTTCGTTTTACTTTATGTTATCTTATTCTAACGCTTTATCTAATCTACTACTTTAACAACTCATCCAATGTTTCCATCATATTATATTCACATTCCCGAATGTACTTTATTTTCCGGTCATCTATTATACACTTGTCTATTGAACTTTAGGTTGACCTCTATCTATTCATTCATATGATATCTCATAATCCTATGCACAGATATTAGTATTTCCACTGACTGTCAAACTTTAACACACACACACATACACACACAAAAAAACTGATTGTTATTGTCTGTTGTAATTCATATATATATATATATATATATATATATGTATTTGTACGATACCACAATAAGCATAAATCGGAAGAACCTGAAAGAAACAACCTCCTTCACCTACCTGGGAAGCATCGTCTCAACTACAGGCGGAACTGACGAGGACATCAAAGCCAGAATCGGAAAAGCAAGACAAGCTTTCATTACTCTTAAGTCTGTGTGAAGATGAACAGTACTCAGAATGAAATATAAGATCCGGATTTTCAACTCCAATATGAAGTCAGTCAGTGCTACCATACGGATCAAAGACTTGGCCAGCGCGTCATAAAGAGCATCTCAAACAAACTACAGACCTTCATTAACAGTTGTCTTCGCTCAATACTCAAGATCAGATGGCCGGCCAGAAAAGATCAGCAACAGGGATCTCTGGGAGCGAACCAATCAGGAACCGATTGTGAAACAAATAGGCAGAAAGAAATGGAGATGGATTGGCCATACGCTGAGGAAACCATCAAGTGACATCACTAGACAAGCCATCGCTCGAGTGGAACCCGAAATAGAGGAGGCGAGTTGGTCGTCCAAGGGTGACTTGGAGGAGGTCATGTGAAGAGGAGATGAAAGCATGTGGGCAGACCTGGAGCAGGGTGAAAAAGTTGTCAGAAAACCGAAGTCAATGGAGGTGCGCAGCTGAAGCCCTATGTTCCTCTAGGAACTAAAGGATACAATAATAATAATAATAATAATTTGTACGATTATACAGCTGTGAAAATGAAATGGTCGAAAAGAGAATTTTTATCTAGGTAACTTGCTTGCCCATACACTGTTAAGAAGACATTTTAACGGTACTGTCTTCTTCCACCTTTTGGACACTAATTAGGCAGAAAACGAAACTGGCACTGATAACCCTATACCTGATCTTTTTTTTTGGAATTTGCATGTCTGTAATTATTTCCAGTAATTCCCGGTATGAGACGTTTATACACCTAAGTCACAAGATCGTAACATATTACCAGCTATAATAAGGCATTTAGACAGGAGACTGAGTAACAATGTTTAAAGTCAAACAGCTGGTGCTTTTGAGTGATTGGGCTTAAAAGAATAATTAATTGTCACAAACGAAATCAGAAAATTAGCAATATACTATGTTGTGAGACAACTCTTCCAGTGAAGTATCTGTGATAAATAAGAAGGGATCTATGGAAGCACAGCTCATAGTATTTTGGCTCCTTTATTTGGGCAACACGTCAACTAAGCTATACTAAATTGTGTCTTGTATTATGTTAAATATTTGGAATAAGTTGTATAGAGGTTCTGAATTTATAGCTTCTGTATTTCCGGCATTCATTGTCAAAGTTGAAGATTTCGTGGCAGAGCTATTAATAGAATAACTGAATTACGACTTAACAGAGATAAGAAATTTCCAAGTGGGGCAATCACTCATCAGTACATACATTGATTATGTACGTTTAAAAATACCTTGGTACTGTCACTGTCTAACAGTCACCATACTGAACGTCTCAACGGCTTACTTAAACTCATTATTGAACTATACTTAGATTTAATGTTATGAAACAACAAAAAAACAGGGGCAAAAATGACTACTGATTTCCAAGACAAATAACAGATACCGTTTCACTTACAAGTTATTTAATTTGATATCAGGGGTCCAAATTTGTGAAGGAAATATACTAACTGTTTTAATATTTCCATATTCACTTTCATTCCAACGAAGAAGAGAATCATTCCATTTCTGGAAAAAATTATTCATATAAATTCAACATGATATTTTCTAGTCACTTATTATTTTTTACGGGTTTTTCAATGGATTTAAAAAAAGAGATTATATATATATATATATATATATATATAAACTATTACAAAATCCGTTGACTATAGCTAACTAGCGATTGTGATATTCTATTCAATGTAAAATGCAGGTAATCCAGACATCTTTTGGTTTACTATGGAAAGAATAAATTATTAACACATTGTCCATACAGCTATATTAGTGACTAGAATTTGTATAAACGATGAAGAGTAGCATAATAGAAACTAAAGTAGACAACACACTTGTTTATTATTTCAGGTAAGGATTCGAAGCGTCATGTAAGCCTCATTTTATTTCAACGGGAAATTAATGTGTCCAGGCATACTACAGATGAATAAGGCTTATTTACTACAAAATTCCATAATTCATTTGGCAGCATCGAAAAAGTTTTTTAAAAATGCTCACCTATGATTGAAAGCTTTTTCTTCACCTCATTCCTTACAAGGGGAACATGGAGCTTCAAGCGTTTTTGACGTTTCAGTAAGAGTAGTGTTGTTTTTTCCGTGATGGAGGTGCCAGGCTCATACCCAAACTCCTCTCTTTTCCTGGCTTACCACTGACTAGTAAACAAGATGAGGTATAGGAGTGAGTCGATTGAGGATCGAACCCCGACGATGTGCGTTACTGATCAGGATCGTACTACTGAAACGTGGACAAACTAAATTTGACAGTCAGATGAAAACTGGTGCATTCGACATGCTTTGGTTGAGGATCTTTGTAAATACAAAATACACTCATTATGCACTTTTTCCAAACAAATATCAGGGGTTATTAAATTAGATTTCTAGTCAAATTCGAAAATACACAATAAAAACAATTTTGATCAAAATGTTATATGTATCCAAAACTCAGCATTTAGTGCACTGGCCAATAAAAAAAATGTTGGTTTTTATTTTGACCCATATTACATTCGCATTTTGACACTAGCTCATTTTTAGCTTCATTTCTAGCATTTAGTGTCAATTCTCATTGGTCACGTGTGTTGCCATCTTAACAGTAGTTTCAGTTTTATTTTTAGTAGATGTTAATGCGAAATGTTGTATATGAAAAAGAGAAGACGTTCAGCGAAGAGACTCTTTTCGGCGAATTCATTCACATAGCTGTACAATCGCATTTATATATAATTATTTGTGTGTGTGTGTGTGTGACAAACCTCATGTACACACACACACACACACACACAAATAATTATATATAAATGCGATTGTACAGCTATGTGAATGAATTCACCGAAAAGAGTCTCTTCGCTGAACGTCTTCTCTTTTTCATATGACTAAATGGGGATTTTCAAGATACTCAAATGTTGTATAATCAGCTCACTGCATCAGCAATTATTTCTCAGGAATGTGAAAGCATCACTTCCATTTGTAAAAACGACTTCTACTAAATGAACTTAAATTATGCAAAAGTTTTTTTAAAGAGTGATATTTAATCTCAATTGTACACAGATATAGAAATACTGGAATACCATGATGGATTGTTTTTACACATATTAATTTTTCAATAGCAAGTTTAAAGAAAGAGTGAATACTTATTACTGTCATAAAATATAAGCAATAGCTTAGTTTAATGCTCACATGCATACACCAACAGTTGGTTCGTAGAATTTGTTTATTCTCATCCAGATCCAAAATTTGGAAAAGTTGTAGCCCATAACGAACATCCACTTTGATTTTACTGTCGTTTACTGGGCGTCCGATAACTCCAAACCGTTCATACCGACTCAGTAACATTCTTATTAAGTCTTTTTCCACAGATTTGGTCTTCATTACTGTTCAATGCATATAAAGACAAAGTGTTTTATATGTACTTCTAAAAACTATTTTTAGATTACAAAATTAATAGTATTTTTGTGATACAACGGAAAATGTACTTCAAATTTAACTAAAAAAGACTACTGCCACTTAAATCCGTGGATTTTGTGGGCTTTACAGTTTGTCATGTAACAACTTGGAAGATGTATGCTGCACATCGATGTCTAAGTCCGCAAGCTGTTTGTATCATATACCTGTGCAGTTGTTAGACCAAATAAAAACGCGATAGGTCGAAGGATTTATACACTTTCAAAGTGTAGGATTTTTATAAAATTCCAAAAAATAAAGTTAAATAAAGTTAGGACAGTGCTGTTAACGAGTTAGCATTTCAAACCGTGTTATCTGTGTCAGCTACAAATATCCTCAGGAATATAGATCAGAGTGAAGTAGCCTGTGGTGGAGTAAACAACTGAGAAGATTCCAACTGCTTATAAACTTTTGATGTGGTAGCATAGCTAAAAGTATCTTATAGATGCACAGGAATTTTTCATTAGCAAACGCCTAACTGTGAAAGCTAACTGATACTTCAGAAACAAAACTAGAAATTCTAGTAAATGCATATGTAAAAAATGTCAAAGTAAAAGGCCAGTGTCAATTAGGTTAGCGGAATCTAAGCTAAGATAAGAAGTCTACGAAGAAGATCAGCATTCCCACTCAGTCATACAATAGGATGATCGAAAGTAACAGTCCTGAAAACTTATATAACACGGTGAAGAGAGAGATAGAGAAAAGTAACATAAACTTTGTTTTTTGAATCAAGTGACAATACACCCAACAAGAGTGATGCAGCACTCCTCCAGTAAATCTGAGAGATTCTTCTATCCCTAAAATAAATGGAAAACACGAACTAAAACTATAAGAAGCAAGTCTCAAAGTTGTGGATCTATACTTAAATGATTATGAACAGTATATACTGTATGGAACTTCATTTAGTAAATAATAATATTTCGTCGTTTGGTCTATCGAGTAAACGTACAAACGAATTGAGTCATCAGAAAATCAGTAAATTAAATAGAGACGAAGCAGTTTCTGTCAGATAAAGGTAAATCTAATTAGACTTATGATGTTCATACCATTTCTGGATAATAATCACATCACTAACAAGTTGGTGATTGGTAAGTTTATCGTGTATGTTCATGGAAAAAATATCTGGAGTAACAAGTTTGTGTATAATCAGTGAACTGGTAAAAAGCTGAGTCTTATGCTTCAGAAACCTTTACACAGATAAATGGTAGTAGTGAAATAAATAATATTTAAAATGTCACCAACATAGTGCTAACCCCAGCCTGACTACTGCAAGTTGGTGTCATTGTTTATCACTCTTATACAATAAAGTTTATCTCAATTTTAACTTTATGCTTTATTGTCAAATTAGCTAAGTAATGCAGTTACAACGACATTCCAGTTACATTTTGTGGAAACGAATTCAGTCTGTTAGCCTACTCTAATAGTACTTAAACTTGCTTATTAAAATACCTACAAGCATTTTCATCAAACAGCAACGAGAAATTCACACTCTTAGTATGATATTATAAAGTGCCATTTACATAGAACCGTCGTGGCCGTGTAGAAATGTATGTTCAATTTTTACTTCGTATACGAAGTTTTAAGTTACTGATTATGTTTTTTTTAAAATTTCCATGTTCATGAAAATAGATTTTCACTTCATGTTCAACAACTAACATAAAATATATCAATTGCAACTAAAGGATATTTCTGTTCTCGATCCTTCTTCTAAGATCCCATCTATTTAGGAAGAAACAAGCATCTTAGGTCATCTGAATGTTACTAGGTTATTCACAGATTTAAGACGATTCCGCTACATAACTGTTGTTAATAAAGTGGATATAAACTTTCGTTTCAGCTTAATAACTGGAATTTTCAAAATGATGATGATATAAAATTCCCCAAATAAATCTCTTAGTCTTCATATAATACTCATGGTTGTAACAGCACATCTAAAGTATGCCACGTAGGTTTTTGATGAAATCAGCTGAAAACAAGCATAATTCTCATTGAAAGGCTTGTCAGTGGCACTAGGTGCTGCCTACACTTTTACACAGATTTATCATGCAGAGTGAATTACGAAGTCGAATAAAATTTACCAGAAATGGTCAACATTCACGTATTTATAGCAATCAAACATGCATAATTTCGCAAAAATAAACAAACTGCATGAAAAAGCTCACTTTTTAAACATGATTTTAGCCGCAAACTTCATGAAGTACTTTCTCTACAGTCAGGGGTATCAGAAAGACTCTCATTTCATTCGTAGTAAATTTCTAAAGGAGTACTTCACTTTTAAGTTAATTCTGTAGCTGCTATTGAGAAGAACATAAAGGCCTTACAAATGCTGAAAGAACATAACCACACCAATAAAATACATTTTAGCTGCAAATCTCTGCTGTCACCATACTTAATAATCTAACCGCTTATTGATTAATGGCGGTTAATTAAAATTTCACAATAAAGGAAAGGAAAGTTTGACGGTTAGTTGTCCTCTTAGTCAGCAGCATCAGGCCAGTAAGGGTACTGACTTATAGTAATTTCATAATGAGGTAAAAACAAATACCTTTTGCTGGCTCAATAACGAAAAGACAATTGTAATTTCAGTGAATACATGCGTAACTTCTAACCCACTTCAAGAAATAAAAACATTGATTTATCAAGGGAAACCATGTGGTAAGAAAAATTCGAAATGTGTAAAAATGAGAATGAGTTCAGAGGAGATTTGAATGGACTACAAAATAGACTGAATACGTCTTGATCAACAGATTTTGATTAACACAGTGTGGATAAGATAGTTGTATTGTTTATCAGTGCCCATTAGTTGTACAACAGATCCTTTTCCAATGCTCACTGGATTTATCACTGATAGACAAATGTCCTAATTCAAGGGGTGGCATGAGTTTTACCAAGGATGAAAATACATCTTATTGATGAAGGACAATATGCGAAAAAACCTAGGTTCATAGCATACTGTCCGCTTATTTCTTATATCTAACTCATCTTTATCTACAACATAGGATTACTGACTTAAACTACTCTTCCAACTTCTGAAGGTTTTTTTTCTCCTTCACGTTCCCCAGTGGAACATAGGGCTTCAAGCTAGTGGCTTGAAGTTTCTATAGCACTGTTTATTTTACAGGATAGGGTTGCTAGCCTCATGCCCAACCTTTCCTCTTTACCAACATTATTTCTGGCTTAGCGAGGTAAAGGAGTTCGTCGGCCGGGGATCGAACCCCAAACATGGTAGGCGAGTGTCCTAACCGTTAGGCCACCGACAGTTTGAAAGATTACGGACCCGTAATTCTACTTGTTACCAAAATTCCATGAACACTTTATACATGAGTAGCATTGTTCTTTCTGTTAACTTTATATCTTTCATAAACTTACATTTATAGGTTTCTATAGATTTTCGCATGTAACGTTTTTTCCCAACAGTTTCAAATCAGTTAAACACGGGTAGCATCATTTGGAGATTCCTTCAGGAGGTTTCTAATTTTACAGTCCATGGGTAAGGTGATAAATTCAAAAAATAAATTGTCACTTTTAGAAATTAACCCAAAATACTCAGAGATTTCCGGAAATCTATTCCGCTGATGTGATACCCAAAATGGTCTGTTGACAGATGATACAGTTTCAACCACCAACATTATGTGGTTTTTATGCCTCTAGATATTCAGTTTATACACTCAATATGGTGATGACATTTATACCTAACTCACGTGACAAAGATAGACAAGTGTGAACACGGGCAGTAATTTTGCTCGAAATATTACTAATAACAAAACTTATCATTGTGTGTAAATTATTGAAATATAATTATACTTTATTTGATAGACAAGTGTATTTCACAAATCTAGTTGCTTTTTGTAGTAATTGGTGACCCTTCCCTACAGACACACAAGATACATGCTAGTTGGTAGATCATATTTCCTCTTGTATGAACTGTTTTGGTTATAAACTGTAATGTGAATGCTTTTTCTTAGCTTTTGATACTGAATGCACTGGACCTGTTTACGAAAAAATACACGGAGATTTTTTGTAGACATATTGTGATACAGACAAGTATACGCGTATGCACTTAAAAAGAGCAGAAATGGAATGACTTCAAAGATTAAGATAATAGTTAGCTCTGGGCATAATTTTAAAAAAATTCTAGCTTGAATAAATTACCACGCATAAGTAGTATTTTAAGATTACTGGTCTGTCTTGTTGTACTTAATTTTGTTTCCAATCTATCGATTTCTGTCTTTTTAATTAACCCCAGAGTTTACTGGGTTTTTGTCACTGAACCAATAAGCCGTAAAATCTCTCTAGCCTCCATTTTAATAGCATAAGTGAATGTATTTGAAAGGAACTGAAATCATATTTGTCTAAAGATTGAACGGTATTCTTCTTTGTGTAGGGATGAATTTTAAGACAATACCGAAGATTGAAACACAGACAAGAAGTTCTCCGGTTTCACTGTGAAGCGAATGTGAATCTTTACTTCCAGTGGTTTGGGGTTCAATTCAGCCTTCAGCCTTGTAATTTGAACTTGAAAATACTTTGAGGGTACTCGTGGAATAATTTTATGCTTGTTAGAATTAGATTTGTTAGAAACTGAAGGTTTACCAAAAACGTTTACATCTTCCCTATTGATTGTTTATTTTTGTGAATCGGGGCCTGCTTTGCATAAGCATTGTACTACAAAGGATTAAACCTCACCTAGTTTACTAGTTCGCTAGTTTTATAGCGGATCCTAAGCCCGGGGAAAGAGGGGAGTTTGAGAGTTAATATAGTGACCCTACACAAGAAAATAAATCCTATTACTACAAAATCTTCGAAACATAAGAAAGACAAGAAACGAACTTATTGTTAAACGGTATCAGAGAGACGGAATGACGCTGGCTGGTAAGAGCCTTCGGGAAGCCAGTCAAACGATGTGTCTTCTTGTGATGAAAGCAAAATT